ATATACATGTAGTTGTCGGGGACCAGAGAACAAAATGAGTCTTGGGTGGACCGGTGCAGTTCTATATCGCCAGATCAACTACTTCCATAGGCGTACGGGGAAATTTTTGACTGGGGGGGGGCGGTGGTGGTTGGTGCCCAAAAAATGTAGTTAGGTTCTTAGTATGTTACATAATAATAATAAATTCGCTGTTAAATTGGACACACTCAAGAACACAATATTTTTTTATACAACTTTTACAAAGTACAATTGTGTGCCCAAATTTTCCCAGCATTTGGTGCCCAAAATGGGGGGACGGCCGCCCCCCAGCTCGTACGCCTGTCTACTTCCATTATTGGTCAACAGAGAGGTGGCTAATGAATTGCCATTATAAAAATGCTTATTTGCATAGACTCATGACCCTTTGACTATGTCATTTAAAAAAATGAGTAAACATGTGGGAACTATTTGGATAACAAGACTGGGTTATTGATATATGTTTCCCCGGTTGTACGTGACAAGGAGTAGGGTCGCCTGTCAAACCTCGTAGGTTTTCTCCGGGTCCTCCGGTTTCCTCCCACTGCTAAAGACCCCTACGCGCAAGCGTATTGTGGAAATAAAATTGAACCATGTGTTAGTCCCAAAATGACCTAGTTTGTGTCGAGTGGACGTTAAACCCCATTTCTCTCTCTCTCTCTCTTTATTGATATATGTATACATGTATATGCACTAAATTTTTTAAATAGTATTTAAGCATAATGTCTTAGTTTTCTTCACAATCATTGCTAATGAAGACATTTGCCATGCAGTATACTTTAAGAGAAATATGTTGCATCTTATTCTTATAATTTAGACTTCCAACATTCATGTACCAGTATACATGTGACTGTCATGACTGACTACCGGGAGACACTTCTACTTTCCAGACCCTGCATCCTGTAGTACTGATAACGGGCAACAAGACGTGAGAAGTCTCTCATCTCTGTTCAATAACAGTTCTACAGTTATTGATGGATCGTAATGGGCGACATTGACTTTACATTTTAATTAATATATAATTAATATAAAATTAATATTTTAATTAGTCAGTTAGTATTGAAAATATGATTAATTTTCCGCTCTTCTAACTTTATAATGTGATTGCCATTATTTGGTTTGTCTGTTGTTCTGACAAACGGTCAAAAAGTGAGCAGATATTCTTCGGTTTAGAGACAATTCAGATACTGAATTCTGTGTGTACTGTGTGTTTTTGAGTGAAAATTACTTAATTAGATGTCACTTTTACTTAATACATCTAGGAAAATGTAGAAGTTGGAATGAACAAAGGAAAATTACGCAGAAATTCTACAGAGAATAGATACATGTACACCGATACAGAATTGCGTCGTATTTTACTGTGTTTTGATACTGAGATTTAGCACAATGAAAATACGTTGAAACGTTGTGCTATATATTATATGTGTACAAAAACAGTGTTGTGTTTTTTATACACTTAGATGGTATTAGTTTGGAATGAAAATTTCACATATTAAATACATAGGAAAAAGTAGAAGTTTGAAACAACTGGTCTTTTATTAAATGTGCTGTTTGTTAGATGCAGAGATTTCGTGATTGAGTACAATAAAAAAAAACTTGAAACATTGTATACAAGCTAGTGTTGTGTTTTTATACTTTGTATTGTGGATGGTATTGTTTATTTTTAGATGAAAATTTCACATACATGTATTGATACATAGGAAAAACTAGAAGTAGTCAATATTTATATAATTCCTGATCAACATTAGTAGTACAAACAGATTTTATGTTGAATAAAGAGCTGGTTTATTCTTCGTAAAAGTAGAAGTTTGAATGATCAAGTTGAAATGGGATGTGGTTTATTCTTCATGAAAGTGAAAGTAGAAGTTTAAATGATCAAATGTATTATTGATACAGACTTTTTTGTTACCATATCTAATAAACTAATGAACCAATTATAAAGATAAACTTTCACATAAAGACTATTAAAAACAGTATAAAAGTTAAAACTGTAGGATACTAGAAATGGAGGTTCCTACAGACATTGAAAATAAAGAACAAATACCGTTAAAATTACTGGATAACTCATTCTTTTCTCGAGTTTTTCGTCAAAATCGATTTATCTTTAACAGGTAAAATGGAGAGCCAATTAATTTGATTGAGTTGTGAATGTGGGTTCATGTCAATTACATGTACACGCCAGATGAAATTAGTGATCCACTATGGCTCAATGAGTAAGATGTTGGCTCGCTAACCTGGAGCAAATATTGGGCTTATTAATGCAAAGCTCTCATTAATAAGTGAAAGGGGTTCGAAACTTTGAAAAAAGCTCATCATTAAACAAGCTGTTCATTAATGCTTTGAACAGCATCTAGTCTTTAATTGTAGGCCGTAAAAGGGTGGGGGGGCGTTTCTGGAGTCCAAACTGGCTGCTTTATATAAATGAGAATTTTGGGGAATACTATTTAAACCCAAACACTAACACTTTTAAAAGGTATAAAAGGTAAATTTGTTCAAAGTCTATTTAAAAAAGGGTTAGGGTTAGTGACTTAGCGTTGGGGTTAGTATTCCCCAAATTATATGAAGTGGCCATTTTGGACTCCGGAAACACCGGAACCTCCATAACCGGTCTACAATTGGCATCTCCCGTGTATAAAAGGGTGTGCATGTACTGTTGAGAGTAGAGATTTAAAATACATAAATTTCTCTTATAACACACTGCATAGATTCCCAATGTCAATGTTACGACATGGACAGAATTGCAAATAGATAGCATCTTGTGGTTCGGAATGAGATGCATTAACATCCATGAAAAAAGAAACCTTGACAAATGGAATTCACATTCAGAGTAGTCCTTCATAGCACACTGCATGCAATATGTCTGTCTTCATTATCCATGTTGAAGTAGAATAGAAGGATGTAGATGTTACCCTATTTAATTATTAATGGTATATAGCTAGCCATATAACCTGTATAATCAATATCTATATGTTTTGTAGGTTATCTTGTCTATTTATTTATTTGTGACAGCTGACAAATTGTTTGTATTATTTTCTGTAAAGAGACATCTGGATACATTAAGTATGTGAAAGTTTTGCAATATATATACATAATGATAATGATTAGTAATGATTCATTATTATCATATAAAGCAGTAGAATGACATAAAGTTTATTAATGAACATGGTTTTAATATTCTAAGAACAGGAGGACCAAATTACACACTACATAATGAAATGAAATTGGGTTTAGTGTCCTACTGTTCTGCACCAACTGGGCTAATGAAGACGGGCATACGCCGTGCTGTGAGGGAAGTTTTGCTACGGCCTACTCTTATATTGAATTCTAACTGTCAAGGGTTATTTTATGTGCCCACCATTGTGTACATGGATCTTGTTTTTTCATCTCAACTTTCTCGACTATGTGTTGTCCTTTGCTAGGCCCAGAAATTTCGTAATGGACTTTCTCAGCCAATGCAGGCTGGGATTGAACACAGGACCTCCAGTTTAGCGAGCCACCAAACCTACAGACAAGACAAAATACACAGACAGTACAAACAATTATCAAATCAAGTGAATGAATCCGGGAGCCAGATTTAGTATAAATACACCATTATAATAATTAGTAATGTGTATTACTCTGTGTGTGTGTGTGGGGGGGGGGGGGGGGTCATATTGTTCAGTAGCTTTATGGATAGCATATAAAGCAGTAAAATGAAATATGGTTAATAGGTCTATTTAAATTGTTGGCATGTATGTTGGTCTATAATGTTCTAATCTATCAAACAGCACCAGATGTTATATATGATAACAGCTTGTATTTGTTCCCCCTTATTATTTTATACTTATAATAATACAATATAAGTCTATTTATACCTGTATTATAGCAATATTTATATTTAATGATCATGGCATCATTTTGTTCTTATGAAAATGGAATGAAGTATGGGGTTTTACATGTACATGCCTACTTTGAAAATGGGCATTAGTTCGAACTCAATTTTATTTCAGTTAGCATATCATCCTACATGTAGTCCAGTCTTCCATTATCACTCACTGCCAACAACTAAAGTCATGCGCAATTCACCTCTCCCTTATTTCTCAATGGTGGGATCATGTGGCTAAGTGGTTAAGTCGCTGGCTCCCTGGCCTGGAGGTCGGGTGTTCGATCCCTGCATTGGCCGCGAAAGTTCATCCAGATTTTCCGGCGTGGTTCCCCCTTGTCAGTGATACAGGATGGAGGGCCTGACAAGGACAGCTGTCTAGTCCTTCGGATGAGACAAAAAGCCGAGGTCCCGTGTATACATTGGAATGCACGTAAAAGACGCTTGGCAGTTGGAATTCGATATAAGAGTAGGCGATAGTGCCGCTGCCCATTTCATTTCATTTCATTACTTCTTATTGGCCATTTCTTCTCCCCCCCCCCTCACCTCAATACCTTATATGGAAGTATATAAGATTACATCATACATTTGTAGGGCCAATAGATTAAAGGTACATTCACACTGTCACCAGTTATACACCATGCAGTGTGCTATATTGTCAATGGTTCTTTTACATGTCAATGAGTCTATGGGTGGACCTTGTTTTTTCAGGCCATGTAAATGACTGGACACTTTTCCTTGCCGTGCCCTCCTTCCTGCACCAATGCAGGGTTCAAAGGTTACCTTACGTGCATGCCGATGTGTACACAGGACCTTGTTTTTTATACCATCTGAATGACTATACCTGTACATTGCCGTCTGTCCTACACCACTGACAAGGTGGAGCCATGCCAGAAGATTCTGATGAACTTTCTCGGCTAACACTGAGATCGAACACTGGATCTCCAGGATGCAAACCTACATCTTACTCACTTAGCCACCACAGCTCTGTTGTTCAAACAAATGATGCTCAAGGGAAAGGAGCCATATATGGTGGACGTGGTATCGTCCCTTAGTCTGATGTTCCTGTCACAAGTAGCCTTTATTCATGCCATTTAAATCAACGTGTATTTTTATTTTGTAGTCGAAGATCTCGAGACTCTGCAATGAGTTCAAGTCAGGAGTCTATAAATACAGTTGGTTTAAATAAAGATGGTCACCATGGTTCAGCAGGAGATTTAGATGATGTGTAAGTTGCATAGTCAGTTTAAAATTTGGTTATTTAAATTGCTGTGATGAGGGAAATTTGCCCCAGTCGGGGGATTGGTTACTGAGCCAGTGTCTTACTCACTCAGCCACCGTGGCTTTAGATAATAAAAACGATAAACCAAGACTTCATGTACATGTAGATACCATCTTGGCCTTGATATTTGTCAATAGAATTGAGTTATCCTTCAGGCATCAACAGATGATTACAAGAATTGGAGATGGCAGCATAAAATCTGTGAAAAGTAGCAAGATAACTATGTTTCTAAGACAAATATATCTTTTTTTTTTTTTATACTAACAGATGCTTAGTACATTTTATTGGCTTTCGGGTATTTGTAAGTGACATGGCTTGTTGTGCCTGTGAATTGATAGTTAAATATGTAAGATTTAGATAAAGAGCTGGAAATTATTGCTATAATATAATAGTTCAAAAATATATAATGAAAAATGAATATATTGAAAATTTTATTCAATTGACTTTATTCTGAGCCTAGTTATGACAGGCTTTGTCTCGATTGTGTATTTAATCGTTAAATTTTTAAATCCTGCAGATGTCTAAATAATGATTTATAGAACATTTGAGGCCAAAGAAAGACTTGCAAATAGGGAGATTTATATCTTACATAATGTGTCTTGAATTTATAGTTAATTTGTTTAGGGTACCAACTGGTGATATATCTGGTTGTGCCTTTTAATTTATAGTTAAATTGTTTAGGGTACCACTGGTGATATAGCCTTTAAATTAATAGTTAATTTGTTTAGGGTACCAACTGGTGATCTAGCTGGTTGTGCCTTTAAGTTAATAGTTAAATTGTTTAGTGTAGCCTTTAAATTAATAGTTAAATTGTTTTGGGTACCAACTGGTGATCTAGCTGGTTGTGCCTTTAAATTAATAGTTAAATTGTTTAGTGTAGCCTTTAAATTAATAGTTAAATTGTTTAGGGTTCCATCGGTGATCTAGTTTGTTGTGCCTTTAAATTGTTTTGGGTACCAACCAATTTGTAAATGATTTAGCTTGTTGTGTCTTTTAATTTGATGTTGAATTGTTTTTAGTACCAACCTGTATGTAAATGATCTAACTTGTGCCTTTAATTTGATGGTTAAATTGCTTGTTTCAGTGAATCAGAATTGAAATGCAGCAACAAACAGTCTGAGACAACGATACAGGAAGTCGAAGAAAGTCACTCAAGTAGTCCAGACGTCGATCAGTTTGCATCTGCTAGTGATTTAATCGAAGCAGCAGAAGACAAGGAAACTACACCAGACACCTCAGCAATCGAAAACCAAGATGTCTCATCGAAGCCTTACTCAAAATCAGACTCTCTCGACCAAAGCAGTGACAAAAGTGAAGGTCAGCAGACTAGGGAGAGATCGTTTGAACGCTCCCTGGATAATATTATGGACAAATGTTCGGAGAAATCTCTGGACTTGAATCTGAGTGTTGATTCTTGGAATGGTTCTGTCAGTGACACGAGTGTTAGAACACCAGACCTGTCTAATTCATCTTACGGGACAAAATGCTCCAAGATCGAGAAAAAACGAAAAGCAAAATCATGGTACACTGTAAGTCCTGAATGTCTTCAATCCGATTAAAACACAGATCCTGTTTCGTTTCGTTTTTTTATAGTTCAAAGTTTTGTTTTACTTTACTGCACTAGGATCTGGAAGAGTTGTTATATGACCTGCCTTCAGGATGATGTGAGGGATTAGCTAATGAAAAGGTCTGTTACGGCAAGTTTTTGGTGTGAGTTGCACAGAACTGTGGGTAACCCACTAGAAACATCAATGCTGATTGGTTAATCAAATGTCTTACATCATAGGGTCAAAAGCTGCTCGTATGACCTCTGACGCGATCTCCCACTACAAACGGTCAGATCTTCATGTAGTAGAGGCCATAAAAAAAAAAAACGAAACGAAATATAGATCTGTATTTTAATTAGATTGGAATGTTGTCTGCTGTTTTTGTTATATCAACAAAAACAAACAAACAAGGTGACTTACATTTATAGGTTTCACCGATACTGAATTAAAAAATGTTGGCTTGTAGTTCTTACTTGTTATTTATTGTCTAGAACATTAGGTCTGACTCATGAGGGAGAGGAAGGAAGTATAGCGCTCTTAAGGAAAAGGCATCAAGCTGTATGGATGGGGCTAAAAATATGAGCTATTGACAATTGTAATGCGATGTAAGCAGAAATGCAGAGGTCCAGGCAAAATGTTCCTTACAGAGCTGCATTGCATGTATGCATCAGTTTGTGCATAAAAGTGGGATATTATACCCCACTTGATTTCAGAATGCAATGCCAGCGGGACATACATTTCTTTGTAGACTACCAAACCTCCAGGCCTCACAGAGAACAGCATCTTAGTCATTCAGATGTGACGAAAACCGAAGTCCCTTCACATTGCTGTTCATGTAAACAAAAAAAAAGCACTTGGCAGTTGGAAATCAAAACCTTGATGTTTGTGCAAAATGTCCCTCATAATACACTGCACGACGTATGCCTATTTCTTTTGTTTTATATGTTACAGATGTTAAGTCCAACCTATAAATCTCGTAGTGAAGATTTTCATAAATTATTTAAAGATGTACCTAAAGATGATAGGTTGGTTGTTGGTAAGTAATAAACATCATAATTTCTGTTCAGTATTTACAAGGGAGGTTGGATGGCTGAATGGTTAGCGTGCACGCATTGTATCATAAAGTCTGTCATTGATTCGACTGGCGTGGTTTCGAATCCCCGGTTGTACGTGGCAAGGAGTAAGGTTGCCTGTCCAACCTCGTGGGTTTTCTCCGGGTCCTCCGGTTTCCTCCCACTGCTAAAGACCCCTACGCGCAAGTGAATTATGTAAATAAAATTAAACCATATGTTAGTCCCGAAATGACCTAGTTTGTGTCGAGTGGACATTAAACCCCATTCCTCTCTCTTTCTCTATCAGTATTTACAAAGATAAATGTCACTTTTTTAAAATCAAAATTTTAATTAAAAGCCTCTGTCGATCATGTTGTAAAAGTTGAATCGCAAAAAAGGGACATTTCAGTACAAAAAGGAATATGAGTCCCAATAATAGTTCAGTACATGTATTGAAATTTTGTCTAACATTTGGCATCCTCTGTAGACAATATAAACAAGCCAGCTCCACCTATAAGTTTTGGTGAAAATCTTTTGATGGTCCTCTTTTTAAACAGATTGATTCCAAGCCGGGAGATTATTTACTGTTGATACTAGATATTTGGATCTTTATCAATTTATCTTGTTTTCTCATGATTCTAGTCTAGATGGAGAAACAAATACAAGAAAGTTCATCTGTATTCATTCTATATTACACGTTCAAACCTCATGGGGTTTCTCCGGGTTCTCTACGCGCAAGTGTTGAGTTGACTTTAAACCCAATTGTTTATGTTTTCTACTGAAAGATATTTATAATTGTTAATTTTTGTTTAGATTATTCATGTGCTGTATAGAAAGATATATGTTTATAATTGTCAATGAATTTAGTTTATATTTGTTTAGATTATGAATGTGTTGTATGCTGTATACAAAGATATATGTTTATAATTGTCAATGAATATTGTTTATTTTTGTGTAGATTATTCATGTGCTCTACAGAAAGATATATTAGTACAAGGTAGAATGTACCTATCACAGAATTGGATCTGTTTCTATGCTAACATATTTCGATGGGAAACGGTGGTAAGTAAAACATACTTATCTATTTTAATAAATCTCTTCTCAAGTCTGGCCTCAATTATTAATTTGATAAATAATGTATATCTTTGTTCTCTGGAGTTATTGTTATTGTGGAATGAACATTATATTTATTGTCTAGAATCATACTTACAAGCTGAGAATAAACTCAGGATTTTTCAGGACCACTTCCCTCTTGTTAAGGGTCGTGCCTTCCCAGTCATTAGGATAGGATGAAAAACTGAGGTACACCTGTGTACATAAAATAGTAAAAGAACACGTATATTTTGAATTTGATAAAGTTTAGGGAGAAACGCCACTGTCTGGACAAAATTCACCTCCCTATTATTGCATGTGACCGCAGAAAAATAAGCAAACTCATGCAATAGTCTGAAAACTACCAAAGTATTGTGTTGTCATTTACATGTATGTACTTTTGATCGTAAGGTCTGGTGTCAAATCAAGTATCAAGGTTTTGAATCTCAGCTTGTATTTGATAAGGAGTAGGGTCAACTTTTCAGTTTCCTTCTACTGCTTGAAATAAAAAGATACAAAAATGTAAGTTCTGAAATGGCTAGTTTCTGACAGCAGACACAAACTTTTTTATATAAATAATTTGATTTATTATTGACTTGTATTTACAGTTAACGATACCATGTAGTGAAATCGTTGCTATAACTAAAGAGAAGACAGCTAGAGTAATACCTAATGCTATACAAGTTACAACGGAAAAAGAGAAATATTTCTTCACGTCTTTCGGTGCCAGAGACAAAACGTACATGATGTTATTTCGACTCTGGCAAAATGCTCTACTTTCTGAGGTAAACACAATTTATAAATTTTAAACCGCTGATCCTCATTTGCTTTTGAAGCCAGAGATAAAACATATATGATGCTATTTCAACTTTCTGAGGTAAACACCTCGTCATTTATTTTTTTTCAGACAAAATCAAATTTTTAACGGCTTAATCTACACTCAAATGGTAGATAATCTTCAGACTTGGATTCAGTCAGATTAAAAAGAGGCCAATCAAAAAATACAGGTGGCACTGGCTTTTTTTTCATATCCTGTTTATATCGTATGTAAAGGAAGCTGATTGCAGACATCTTTTATTTCTTTTTAAATACTGCATGGAATTGAACCATTTTTGAATTTGAATTCCTTTTAGAGATTCAACTTTCACAATATCGTAGTTTGTAAGGGATGACATAAATAGAAAGAAGTGAATAGGAATATTAAAGTATTGGATTGATATAAGCCTCAATTATACCAGTACCATGGTTACAATAATAAACAAGCAATGCACACATCTTGTCAAAACTATAGAATGTGATAACTAGGCTCAGAATAAAATAGTTTGAATGAAATTTTCAATATAATCATTTTGCATTATCTATTTTTGAACTATTATAGCAAGAACAGCCAGCTCTTGATCTAAATCTTACATAATGTATCTATAATTCTGAATTATAGTATGAAATTTTATTGTAGCCTATGAATCCTAAAGAACAGTGGCAGTGGATACACTATAGTTATGGAGAAGAATTGGGACTAACATCTAGTGATGAAGATTATGTAGCACCTCCTGGAATGGATGATTTAAAGGAGAAACTATTACCACCAGAAATGCCACCATTAAAGGTATATTAAGTTAAATAGCTGTTGTAGTAAATTTGTGCGAAGGGTTTAAAGGTCTTGTTACATACACTAGAAAAAATGGATGTTATCTTAACAAAATGCTTGACCATGTCAGAACAAAATTGTCTAATTTTTAACGACTCAATCTATTCTAAAATTAAAATATCAATGCTAGGTAATGCTGTGTATTGCCATTGTAGTAACAATACGACATGTATTGTGATTCAGGTGTTACGTTACAATTCGCATCACTATTCATAACCAGGTCAATATATAACAAGAAAACAACAGGATAAATGAATACATGATATTTTTAGTCTTGTTGATGTCAAAGAAATAAAACTGTTTCATATCAAGATATTGATGTAGATCAAAATAAGGACCAAAACAATTTAAGAGTGTGTACCTATGGATAATGTGGGACATGGATAATTAAGAATGATGGGTTATTGATTGAAGTGTCAAAGAAAAACATAAAAAATGAATTGCGATTCAGCGTCTCACAATTCAGTACGCGAATTGGGAGGAGGTGAATAGCGATACATCGATTTAGCATCTCATGATTCAATAAGCGAATTGCAAGAAGGTGAAGCGTGATATATCAATTCAACGATATATCGTACCAGCACTACGGTAGATATTCTTTGATTCATTTGGGCTTAAAAAGAGGCCCATCAAAAGATTTTCTCCAACGCTTATAGGAGGCGCTGACTCGATTATATCATCTACAGATGATGTCAAATATTGTAGTTTACATGAGATTCCAAATCTTGCAAATGGCCTTTTGTTGCTTGTATCTAATAATAATATATTTGTATTGAAGTGTAATTGAACAGAATTCGGGTAGGTTATATTTTGTCAAAATCAGTTGACTCATATTTTAAATATAATTGCTCAAAAAAAAAATATAAATCATCATTTTAAATTTTGTTTAAAGCGAGAATTTCATATTTTCTAAGAAAGTCAAAACATAATTATTTCTATGTCTTTTGCTCAATAGGTTATCAACTCACTATTATATGACCATGGGGATTATTTCCCACCCTTAAAAATCATTGACACAGGAAATAATAACACAATTACCTCCCTTGTGTTCCTATTGCCTCCATGCATTAGCTACTTTCAAACATTGGAATTTGAAGTTGAAAATGATATTTTTGCCAATTTCTCAGCTGGCAATAGTGAATTATAGGATTAATAGGATTATTCTTTAACAAGGTAGAACGGTTTATGGATACCATCTATTTTAAGGCTTTATTTTAATAAATTTTAAAAATATAACTTAAAAATATGAAATTTTTAACATGTTTGTTTTTCTTCAGGAACAGACGGATTCATCAGATATTCATGGTACATCCGAGATGTTGACGATGGCTAGTAATGATGAAGATGCTATCCAATCAGATGAAGTTTTCTCTCATCCCCAGACGAGTCCGTCACTTGACTCGCCGTTATCACTAGGTCGTTCAGAAATACCAACAGATTTCAGTGATACAACAGAAGACAGTGAAGGTATCAGAAATTATCTATTGTACTTCATGATCTTAGACAAAACTTAATTAATATTGAAATCTGCGGCTAAATATATACAAAATAAATACAGTATTGAAAAATTATCTAAGTATTGTATTTCATGATAGCACGTGCGTGCTGTATCATAAGGTCTGTCATTGAGTTAACTGGCGTGGTTTTGATTCCTTGGTTGTACGTGACAAGGAGTAGGGTTGCCTGTTCAACCTTGTGGGTTTTCTCCGGGTCCTCTGGTTTCATCCCACTGCTAAAGACCCCTATGCGCAAGCGAGTTATTGAAATAAAATTGAGTTATATGTTATTCCCAAAATGACCTAAGTTTTGTAATTGAACCAATTGTAGATTAATTCATGTGTTTAGTTCATTGTTTTATCAATAAACATTTTCATACATCAATCAACTGAAGTTGACTATAATCAGTTGATTTAGATCCCTGGTCTGAATAAAATTAAATTATTGTATTGATAAGAGCCTGACAAGGACAGCTGTCTAGTCGTTCGGATAGGATGAAAAACTGAGGTCCTGTGTACACATTGGTGTGCACGTAAAAGATCCCTTGACAGTTGGAATTCGATATAAGAGTAGGCCGTAGTGCTGCTGTCCGGGCAAAATTTCCCTCATAGCACACTCTATGGCATAGGCCCGTCTTCATTAACCCAGTTCAGAGCAGAACAGTAGGACGTTAAATCCCATTTCATTTCATTTCATTTGTTTGGACATGATATTAAAGTATTTGCTATGTTTATTATATTTCTAGGTGAAGTAGCATGTTCAGGACATGATCATCTAGAGAAGTTATATGTAGATGAAGTATTTAATATATCAGTTGATAAAATGTTCACTTTATTATTCACTGATACTCCATTCTTCAGAATCTTTGTTGAATCAAGAAAAACATTTGGTAAGTCATAACAACAGTTTGGTTTTAAACGAACTTAGTCTCTATTTCAATATTTAGCATAATATAAATATTTGAAATTTAAAACACAAATTAGAATTCAATATTGGTTAATTTCGATCAATATTGATGTTATCTTGCCGTGAAAATATAGACCAGTAAATGATTACATACATATGTCAATCTTCTTCCTGTTCTTGGTGAGATGCTCTTCAAAAATGGCCTACGACTCCGCCAAATCAACTGTGGTCAATATGAAACTTTTCAAGTTTGCTTTTTGGGACTTCTGATTTGTTTTAGCAATCCTGATTCATTGTAAGATCATACCCTGTTAGCCTATCAGGCCAACCTGTCTGTCTTATTTGCCGTCTTCATTAGCCCAGTCGGAGCAGAACAGTAGGATGTTTAACCCCATTTAATTTCATTTCATTTCTGTCTCATTTGGTCTGTCTGTTGATTTTTACATTTTAAGGAATTCCTTTTTGTGCATAATAGGAGAGAACTAATTTATGAAATAATAATTAAATAGGCTTCGAACACCTAATCTACTGTTATTACGGTAATCTGTCATCTTTATATCTTGGTGTCATATTTATTTGCCAGGCTTGTCTATTTATTTAATTTATTTACAGCTATATCGCCATCCCCATTCCCACACCTAAAATTGTGTGTTTGTTTGTATGTTAGTTTAATAACAATTGAAATAAAAATTAAGTTCAGTTTCTATCTTAAATGTACTATTTTTGTAGATGTTATAATACCTAGTACTATCTTAAATGTACTATTTTTGTAGATGTTATAATTACTAGTAAATGTGTTATTTTTTGTAGATGTTGAAATACCCAATTGGGGTGAAGAAGTTGATGAAGATGGTAATCGTGTTCGAACTATAAGTTATACGTTATCATTAAATCATTCTATCGGACCAAAAACATCTCCCTCTACAGAACGACAGGTAAGATCATTTCACATACATTATAATTATTTGTATAAGTGGAGTGAGTATGGCCCTGGCTTAATAACCAAGCTGTCACAGGTTTGATACTAGTGATGGCCGTGGAAGTTTGTGATTTTCCAGCCTTGACACTTGTTAGTGGAGCTGGACAAACAGCCAAGGTTCGTCTGTGTTCTCATTGATGTGCAAGTAAAAGATCCCTGACTGTTGGAATTGTGCAAATAGTAGCTAGAAACACTGTGTTTCTGGCAAAATTTCACTCATATTGTTTGCCTCTGTCTTCATACATGTAATCCTGGTTTGTGTAGAAAAGTAGGATGGAAATCTCATTACATTTATTTTGTATTTCTCTCGAATTGGAAGCCAACTTTCTATTTGTTATGTAGATGATTTTGATGTAATATTTGGTTCTTGTAGCCATGATATTAACTTTCTGTATTTTTTGTAATACTTGAATCTTGTAGACATGCTATTGTAGTACTATAGTACTTCTTTCTTGTTGTGTTTGTTTCTTCGTGATCGTAACAAGATTACAGCATAAAATAGTTTCACAACTTTATTGCTAAGCTGTAATCAATAATAATGGCTGCTAGGAATTTCTGAATGAGCTCTGATCCAACTCACTCTACACCCTAATTTACACCCCTTAATTTCTGCAAGGCTTCAATTACCTTGATGTTAATTTCCATCCCATATATGGAATAAACCTCTTTATTTCACCACGACTAAGATAGGAGACATTACCTTATTTTGTTCTACCAACCATAGGTCATTTAACAGATAGAATTTGATGGATATTTTGATAATGGTTATGATTTTACCAAAATATCACTGTTTTTTATGTATAACTATATCACGTTCATTAAGTACGTGTGATTTAACTCTATAGACAGAGTGAAGCAACAATTTTTCAAAGAACCAAAATTATCTCAAGGACCAAAGTGTTACACTATAAACTTTCTGTATGTTTTGTAATATTTGAATATTGTAGACATCTTGTACTATTTTGTAATATTTGAATGTTTTCAGACATGTTATAAACAGAGTAAACCTGGTATTATATATGTTGTCGACTGTCAGTGTGAAAATAACGGCATCCCTTACGCTGATTCCTTCTTCGTTATTACACAATACTGTCTCACTAGAGTTACCAAGGATAAATGTCGTCTTCGTGTCACCGGAGAAGTCAAATATAAAAAATCTGTGATGGGTTTAATAAAAAGTAAGTCATATCTTAAAGGGGCATTATGGGATATTAGATAAAGAGCTGACAGTTCCCACTATAATAGTTTTAAAAAAAGATAACGTAAATAGAATATGCTGAAAATTTCAGTCAAATTGCTCCAATCTGAACCAAGATATTAGCTATTGAATTTTAGGCCTTGCCTCGATCATCATTACTAAATTAATATTAGTTTCTTGTTAATACTCCCATTATCTACAAAAGTAAAAATATGCAACAACCCTTGTCGACTGCTTTGACTATTTAGCTCCTGTGGGTGTAAGTTTTCTTTATGACATTTTGGTACACCTATTTCCAATTAGTTTTTAAGCAAAGTCATTTACATAACTTAAGCAAAAGAATATTAATTAAGTCTTGTTGCATAGACATAAACTTAAGCAAAAGAATATTAATTTTGTCTTGTTGCATAGACATAAAACATTTTCTTTGGAATTTTATGCATTTTTTTTTACAATTCTTGAATATTAAAGGGAGACAACTCTGTATGTTTGTCCTAAAGTCAATATTATCTCCCCTTTGACCACATAATTGACAAGATGTATAAAATGTTACAGGTATGATAGAAAGATCAGCGGTAGGTGGATTAACAGATTATTTCAGAGATCTTGGTAAGTTACCTTTATAAAGATTAATAACCACTTGTAGTTTACCACACCCAGACATCAGCTACTCTATCAGTTTGATGCGTTTGGTTAAACTGGACTAATGCTGTATGTGACCATACCATATCCTTGTATATTTTCTATCCAAAATGTGACTGTTCTGCCTTAAAAACAGCACATGAAATATTCATAATGATTGACTGAATATAATTTATAATCGAGAGCTGTTTGTTAATCTAATGTTTTGTTTTTGTAGCAATAAAGTCGACTGGGTTTTGTTTTTGTTATGACTATAAAACAACTGTGGTATTTCTTTTGTCTATTTAAGCCGTTCATTTACGTAGAGAAGTTGAAGAGAGTGATAAATTATTAGTTCATACAATTTCCAAGAAAAAGTTACGAAAACGAAGGAAAGGAGGTACAACGGGATCAGAAACACAAACCTCTTCTCGACAGGCAGATAGACAGGTTTCTACACCACCATCTCCTCTTAAAAGTAAGATTATTTTAATTGTTTGTTTATTATAACATCATTGTGTATGTTTATTATAACACCATTGTGTATGTTTATTATAACATCATTATGTATGTTTATTATAACATACCTATGTATGTTTATTATAACATACCTATGTATGTTTATTATAACATCATTGTGTATGTTTATTATAACATCATTGTGTATGTTTATTATAACATCATTGTGTATGTTTATTATAACATCATTGTGTATGTTTATTATAACATCATTGTATATGGTTTTTTTAACATCATTGTGTATGTTTATTATAACATCACTGCATTTGTTTATTATAACATTGGACGGATATGTCTTTTAGGGGTTCAATCTTCTCAATATTATAGTTTGCAAAGGATTCCTCAATCTCTCCGATGACATTTAAGAGACTTTAAAACAAAAAAAATACATTATATTTGTGTATAAAAGGTTTGTATATTTAACTGATGAAATTCTTATATTTGTATATGTGTTTTAGTTGGATTAAAGTTTTATAATTGTTTGTGTTATTATAGGTTTAAGAGATGATAGGTTATTATGGATATCATCTGATGCTTTAGTTAGAATTATCTGTCTGATGTAAGTATTTAGATACTGTAACCTCATTAAATCACCTGAGCTCAGTGAGCTGATGTGGTGGGATATTGGTAGGCTCAGTGAGTAAGGCGATGGCTCACTAAACATGAGGTTGGGGTTGGATCCCTGGAAATTTCCATCCTGGTTTCCCCTTATCAGTGTTGGAGAACAGACAATGTCCTATCCTCATTAACCAGGTTGATGGAGTAAAGTGTGACCTCAAACCCCCCATTTCATTTCCTACTTGAATTATTCGACAAAATGGGAGCCACTGTGGCTCAGTGAGTAAGATGTTGGCTCACTAACCTTGAGGTCCCGTGTTCGATCCCTGCGTTGCTCGAGAAAGTTCATCGATATTTTCTGGCGTGGTTCCTCCTTGTTAGTGACGAAAAATCAAGGTCCTGTGTACACATTAGAGTGCATGTAGAAGATCCTTTGCCAATCCGAATTCGATATAAGAGTAGGTTGTAGCAAAATTTCCCTCATAGCACACTGTATGGCATATGTTCGTCTTGAATAACCCAGATGGAGCAGAACAGTAGGACGTTAAAACCCATTTCATTTTGTTTTGTTTGTTTTATATTTCAGTTTAACCCTACTAGTTGTTTTTAATGCTATATTGTTTTATAAACTCTGGTCTTTAGAAAGTTTCGCTGGAGCTTTTTATCAATCACACTCTGATCAGATCCTAGAAAACCTAGCGTAAGTATTCATTTCTAGAAATTAACTAAAACAATGATTCCCTGGCCTGGTTGGGTTATGGTAGTGGATGGGTGTTACCTGTTATGGTTACCTTGACTGTCTTAGCTGACTTTGTTGTACATTGACTGACATGTGACGCTCCCTAAAAGTGCATCAGTCACAGTGCTTGATAAAAATCATTGCATTTGTGAAAATATGACAAAATTAGACTGATATTCAGTAAACTGGGATGTTTACAAAATTCTTCAAAACTATAGGTTTTCCCTCCACCTCCACCCCACCCCTCTATGTACAATAAAGGCAGGTAAAGGTATGAACTTGTGGTTGTTTTGTAGAATGGATGTTTGAGTTATAGTTTGATATTCAAGGATAAATACCTTTCAAATAGGTAGAAATTCTGAATGTATGAAAGCAGTTACTTTACAGGAAAATATGGGAAAATATCTACAAAAATTAATTGAACTGACCAACATTTGTGTGAAAATATTTGCTTTGTATGCTTTCCTTTTTTTTTTAAAGTTTATTTTCTCCCTTGGGTTTTAAGTTTTGCGTCATTTTTTTCTTTTTGGCAGTAAATATCCACATTCACAAGATGAATGGGTACATTTATTACGACAACAACAGAATTTACATGATAGTGAAATAGATAAATGGAGAGACGTTTTATCAACATCAATAATATTAGTTGATCAGGTAAGTTTCAACTTGGTAGAGTACCTAGTTGGATGGATGACCATATTTATTATCATTAATGTTGGTAAATGGCTATATTTCCATCCATATAGGTAAATGAAATGAAATGAAATGAAATGGGGTTTAACGTCCTACTGTTTTGCTCCGAACTGGGCTAATGAAGACGGGCATACGCCATACAGTGTGCTATGAGGGAAATTTTGCCCGGACAGCGGCACTACGGCCTACTCTTATATCGAATTCCAACTGTCAAGGGATCTTTTACGTGCACGCCAATGTGTACACGGGACCTCGGTTTTTCGTCCCATCCGAACGACTAGACAGCTGTCCTTGTCAGTCCCTCCGTCCTGAATCACTGACAAGGGAGAACCACGCCGGAAAATCTGGATGAACTTTCTCGGCCAATGCAGGGATCGAACACCCGACCTCCAGGCTAGCGAGCCAGCGCCTTACCCACTCAGCCACCGTGATCCCCTATAGGTAAATGACTATATAACCATGAATGTTGGTAAGTGCCATATTACCATAAATGTTGGTAAATATATTACCACTGATATGGGTCAATCTGATTATACCACTGATATGGGTCAATCTGCTTATACCACCAATCTGGGTCATTCTGATTATACCACTGAATTTGATCAGTCTGATAGCACACAGCATGGCGTATGGCCGTCTTCTTGATATACCTGGTTGCCACAGAAAGGTACTCATCCTTTGTTGTATCAATTATAGCCCTTTTAAACATTTCTTCATCATACATAATTTATTTTGAACAATTATATTTTATTATAGATAAAAGGAACATTGGTACATTTACACAGCAGTCTTGAAGGACGTTTAAAAAATACAGATTCAAGTAGCTGACATCGAAAAAAATAATTAAAAAAATGGTCACAAAACTTATCTATTTTATAAATATACAATTCATTCAGTTTTATGAATATACAGTACATTCTGTTTTATTGTTGATTAACAGTCCAAATACTATATTTATTGACAGGTAGGGCTAGCGTGTAAAAAGGATCCCAAAGTTGCAGATTTTAAATTGCCTTCATACTGGTTAAAGATACATTATGTAAGAATTAAATCTTACTATTGCAGGTCTTTTTTTCTGGCTTCAAATGTTATTTGAATTGTCATTTAGACATTTATTAACATGACAAGTCTATAATCAACTCGCAATACTATCGGATGGCGTGGATATTAAGTGGATTAAACTATCTGCTCCATTTAATAGGTTAACGTTAAATGGAAAATCAAATTTTTGTTTATTATTGTAGCAATGACAATTAAAACTAAACTTCAAACATTCATATCTTTCCTCAGAATATATAATTTGACTGAAATTTTCAATAATATTTATTTTTCATAACCGAATTTGAACTGTTATAGCAAAAACTACCAGCTCTTTATCTAAATATTACATAATGCATCTTTAAACAGATAAACCATCTGTTTCTATACCCAGAAATATTTTTTGTGGTTGTATAGTGTCACCCATGCAATTTGCTTTTCCTTCTGCATACTTTCACAATTGTTTTTCGCTTGCTACGCTTAACAAGAATACTTGTAAAAATAATATTTCCAGATAAAAAGAACTAAGGTCAAACCTATCTTATTTTCTGTTCTTTGGAGTCGTAGTAAATAAATAGTCACTTGAATCACGTGAAAGATGGTTTGTTTAAAATTTCAAAACTCAAAAATTTGGAACTAAAAGCTTTTCAACATTGCAATCAAGTACTTTTGATTTTTAAATAAGTTATTTTCCCGAAGAAAGAAGAAGGAAATATTTTATATTTGTTCCTGAAAAAAACAGAAAATAAAATTGGTGAGGCCTAATTTGGTTCTTTTAAAGATCTTATTAGAGAATCAAATATAAAGGTTTGGCCACCCCTGTCTTAGACTAGAGGCTGCATATTGATATGTGACTCCCAGCATAGATTCGAGCTAAAATCATGTTCAGCTTCAAATAAAATTTTTATTAAAACTTCATTAATATTTTAATATTTCATTCAAGAATATTCCATTAGTTTTTTCTAAAATAAAATAATGAAATTAATATAGATTATCGGTTAACTTGGGATCAGTGCAATTCATATTGTTATTGTTCGATTTCTATTCCACATTGAGTCCAGTTTCATGTTGATTACATGTCATCAGTTATATTCTGCATTAGTTTTAATGGTGTCATGGTTGGCTTGGTACCAGATTTGGCTCAGTACCTACCTTTTAGAATTTCAATAACTTCATCAACTCTGTGTTGAAGTTTATGAAACTTTGACATGAGTCCTCAATAGCTTTCAGTGTGTATGCCTATACAAAAATGGTTTAATAAAATTTTAAAAATTCCTTGACTACACAGGGCTACACTACTCTTGTAAGTAAAATTAATCAACTCTTTTAGGAATTTTACTATTTCTGTAATAATAGCGCAAAGAAATGGTAATAAAGACAAAGAAAAAAAATTTGAAGCAACAAGATCAATTCTGTACCCTGCGAAAAACAGAGAACCAGGAACCAGTTAAACCTAGAACGGAGTAAATACCATGACACCGAAAGGCATTCTTCAAAAATAGATAAATATTATCAAGTGCTAAAACTTTATGTATAGGAATATTACTACATATAGAATCTGAGCTATAGAATTTGGCAATCAAACTTCAAATCATGTAAACAACAAAAATTACATTAATTTTTGTATGCCCACATTTCACAAGGTGACGAATCCTATTGATTTTCAACGAGTTTCGATAATTACTGTCAGCAGAGTCATGGCCCTGGATCACTAAAAAGATCTTGTAGACACTCTAGGGACTAAAGTTATCTTTCAATTGACTTGAAATTTAAATATACAATGTTGATGTGGGAGCATGTTTCATTTTCTAGGCAACCTGTCTTTGTTATTGATACCACATGAATTTCACAAATAAAATCTGTCGTAATTTTAACAACAGTTATTTATATTGCTTAATATAGCATTTGAAAAAAAAAAATAAAAACCATTTTATATAAAAATACTTTCAGATCTATGGTTCAGTAGCCTCCTTTAAATTTTGATAGTCAAATCCTATAGCTTTGATTTGGTGTGTATATATATAATAACGGTGTATTTTGATGTATGTGTTATAAAATGAGATCCAGATATGTAAATTATAATTAGTTAGTGCTGCAGGATTGATTGATTGATCGATTGATCGATTAGAATTCCTCTTCTGTAATAATTAAATAGTTTTAGTCCCTGTTTGATTGTTGGTCATGCACACAGGTGCTCATTCATCTGTAGACGATATTCTCGATTGACAGAATTACAATCGAGTGACACAGATTTTGGCCCCGTCACAGATCTGTTAGTGGTATGAGCAGAATCGTAACGTTATCAAACGTTTCAGCTGTGATGATTGGTCGAGATGAGTATCATATTCAGTTAATATATGCATTGTCGCTCAAAATTCTCGTGAATACTCAGTCACCTTTCAAGGGATTGGGGGGAGTCAATTCCGGAACATGTCCTGATATACTAACTGATTTGACCTGTATTGTAATAAGATAACATGGGGGATAGTAATATATATATCAAAGCTAATTAGCTGTGATAATCTTAGATTTATTCAAATGTATATCTGTTAAACCTGTAATGTCTCTCTTTCTATAGATGGTGATTACAATCAAATATTCAGATTAGTAAAACTTTTTATTAGTAATTATGTTTAGGTCAAAATAAGGTATTGAATTAGTTTGATGTGATGGGTTATTGTCAATGGTGATGGTCAGATGTGTTTAAATTTTGTTTGGATAGATTAAGCGAACGTACGTTTGTTTAGTAATTTTAGTTTTATTATGGTGTGGACACTTGAACCCACAATCAGTTATATCTCAAGATTGGTTTTTTCTTCCATCTATGTACATTTTTAACAGATTCTCGACCATCAAAATAAATCAACTTATAAAATTTGATGAAATCAACTGTTTATGAAATCATTTGGAATTATTAGTATAAATAATTTAATAAATTAATCCTTGGTAACCTAAAGTCATGATTAAAATATATAACTAGATGTATATATATGATGTATTTAATTAATGAAAATCAAGAATAATAATAATAATAATATATTTAATTATGGATTGATCAAATATGAAAAGTTGTTAATATCTAGTTTCTCTAGTAGAGAGACAAATTGTTATAACAATAAAAATCTGATCTCAATCTGGTCATTTCTTTATAATAATACTGATTAAAGGTTTTTAAATATCAAAAATCACATGTGATTGTTTGATTGGAAATCGGGGTGGTGTGGATTAGTGTCTATTTACTTAATATATATTCAATCAGGTTGGTGTAGGTCTAGGTCAGTCTAGGACTATAGAATGCCAAATTTATTATAATATATATTCAATTAGGTTGTGTGGATTGGGGTCTAATTTCTTAGACTGGCATGCCAAATTAATATACATTCAGTTTGTTTACTTGAGGCTCAATTCTCGAGCTCCAATCCAATTCTCAATTAGGCTCAAAGTAACAGCTACTACATTCATGATGACTGGATAGAGCAATAAGCTATTACACATACTTATGGAAAAACAGCTACTTCTTTATTTGGGCGACATTTCAAAGAGTATTGTCTTAATGTCATCAAGAATATACTCTTCAAAACGTTGCCCAATAAATTAGTAGATGTTTTTCCATAAGTATATGTGTTATAGTAAATTACCGGAACATTCAGCGACCTTGACGAAAATTTAGCTGGCCTTAACAAATGGATTTAGCCATCTAAGACAAGCTAATATTTGTGTATTTGATGTTCCTGTTCTAAGTCACTGTTCCATAAGTATCCATACTAACCTCCATTTTATCATCAATGTTGATTGGATAAAATAATTCCAAATCCAAGAACAACTGCAATAAAATTAATCGTTGGAATTTGATATAACCTGTTAGCCCACGATATTCATCTAGTGTTGTTCCTTTTCTTCCGTTTTTAAATGCACATGTATGTATGTATGTATGTATGTATGTATGTATGTATGTATATTTGTAGAAAGTTGTATATTGTATGTATGTATTTATGTATATATTGTTAAAACTATATTTATATTATTAAAAAATACACACTTGATACCTAAGTGATAGATATATTTTATAGAAAATATGACAGAAGTTATGAAATTTATTTATTAATTATTTTGATTTTTTTTTTTAAAACCACTCTGTGCATATTTTTTTTGTCTTATAAAAGGCAACATTAATATGTTTGTGATGGCTGCAGCAGACTTTAGAGGAAAATTTTGCACACATTGAAATCAGAAAAATTTGATAATTTTAATTCTTTTTTGGCTAGTCCTTTTACTGTAAAGCTCAGAGCTTATTTACCAAATCCTTTAGTCCTTACAATTCCATTGCAAAAATATCAAAACTTCAGTCTTCAGTAAATTTCCAGGAGGTCTCGGACTCGATCCTAGTGTTGGCCAAGAAAGTTCCTTGGAATCTTCCAGTTTTGTTTTTCCTTGTCAGTGGTAAAGAACAGGGCCTAACAAGGAAATGTGTGGCACAAAAAGGTGGCGTTCTGTGTTCATAAAAGATCCAGTTAAAGTCGGTATATGAAATAAAGGGTAGACTGTAGCGCCACTATCCAGGCCATTTGCCTATTGATGCAGAAAAGTAAGATGTTCAATCCTGTTTCTATGGGAACAAAGTTTGCTTATCCTTTGTTTATTTGGTCAAATAATGTATAGGTTGAAAAGATGCACTTTACTTTTATTATATCGGCACATTTCTTATTTTAAATAGAATATTCTGCTTGTAGTTAGGGAAAATGATTTTTGCTGTGAAAGTGGATTAATGTTCAGTTTTCTTTTGGATATTTTACAATCTGATTAAAATACAGATCTATATCTCGTTTCGTTTTTTTACCATTTTGATGGCCTCTACTACATGAAGATCTGACCAGTTGTAGCGGCAGGTAGTGTCACAGTTCATACGAATGGCTTTTGGCCCTATGCCGATAGACATTTGATTAACCAATCAGCGTTGATGTTTCTAGTCGGTTACCCACAGTTCCATGCAACTCATGCCAAAAATTCGCCGTAACAGACACTTTTATTGTCTAATACCTCACATCATCCAGAACGTGGGTTGTACAACAACTCTTCTCGATCCTAGTGTAGTAAAGACAAGTAAAACAAAATTTTGAACTATAAAAAAACAAAACGAAATAGGATCTGTGTTTTAACCAGATTGCATATTTTGGAATTTTTAAGGCACAAACTGTCTTGTTTTTGGTAAAAAAGAATACTTGTACACATATTACCACCATATTGCTTTATTTGCCCCATATGAAATCTAGTAATATTATTATTTTTGGCTAGTCCTTTTACTGTAAAGCTCAGAGCTTATTTACCAAATCCTGAAGTCCTTACAATTCTTTTTTTTTACCAATTGTTTAAAGGAAATCTGTTCAAAGATAAAAAAAAAAGATACTTCTTTAATAAGGCACCCATTATTCAAAATATAAAATATTTTCATAGGTCTTAAATTTTCATAGGAAATCCTGGTTGAATTATTGTTTATTTATACCACAAATAGTTTCAGTAGATAGGATCCATTTGTTGTTAGCAGCTGGTACCAGTATTAGAATTAAAAGACTTCAGGCATTTTAAATTTGATTTTTTATAATTATTTTTATGTATACTCATTTATTAAAGGTCACATGTATACTTAATTGAGTATATTTTAACCAGGCTACTGAATTGAATTATTTTAAACATAGGTGATTTGTATTAGGATTTGCAGGTGATAAGTTTACTATAGAGGTCTAGTCTATTATCGTGTGATCGGTTCTTGACACACAAGACTACTACTACACATGGTAGTCACAGTTATCAATAATGACAAGACTAGTAGTGAGGAAAATAATTTTAATATAATTATTATTTTGTTATATTATAAAACGATAAATTTTGATTTTATTGACATGAAATAAATGTTTCTCCAATATCTGTCTCTGTGAAATTAAAATTATACAGCACATTATCTTGTTTTTTTGTATGCATATGTTGATATTCTGATAAAATGAATGGTTTAACACGTGTGTCTTAGATCATAAGGTCTGTCATTGAGTCAAGTGGTATGGTTTTAATAAGGAGTAGGGTTGCTTGTCCAGCACCATGGGTTTTCTCCTGGTCCTCCCACTGATAAAAGCCCTGTATGTGAATTATTGAAATAAAATTTAACCTGAGTAAGTCCCAAAATGACCTAGTTTGTGTTGAGTGGATGTTGAACCCCATTTCTCTCTCTCTTTTCAACAAATTGGGTTGGGCAGAGAACCTTGATTTGGTAACGTTTCCATTACAATAGGTGGGTGGGTTTTGTTTCCTGGCAACATTTATTTTAGTAATTGCTCAAATTCTTGCGCCACTTCAACCCTTGAAATGATTTTGACATTAAAAATTTTGCGAGTACTAGAGAGACTGAGGTATTGGCTTCTGTGATACAACCTAAAATTGCCCATTTATCGGAAAGTGTGGACTACACAACTGATTTTTGCCAGGGGGTAATAATGTTTAACTGATCAACATACCACCTTTGTCAATTTACCCACAATATCTTCTAGAAAAGAGTTTTTTGTCCACCCCCTTCGATGAAAGGACTATTATAATGGGTTAATCTATTTTGGGTGTCATGGAATCATCCCACAAATGCACAATCACAACAAAAAATTACAAATTTATTTCGATGAAAACACGATAATTATTAAATCTGAGCAATGTCTAATTACCATAATAGATTCATGTGTATACAAAGATCTATTCAGATATCTTGAACGATTTACAAGGTGTACTCCAGAAAAAATATCTCTCCCTTAACTTTGACCGATGTGGAATAAAAGAGGCAACACTGTTATACGAGATATGGTCCAAAAAAAGAAAAAAAGCGAAGGAATGAAAGCGAATTATTGAAATAAGATTGAACCATGTGTTAGTCCCGAAATGACCTAGTTTGTGTTGAGTGGACGTTAAACCCCATTTCTCTCTCAAATCATTGTTAGCAAATTGTTAAAATTTGTGGAGAATCATCAAAAAATATTGGGGTTCCAATGGTTTGAAAGTTTTGAAACTAAACATTAAATACATAATGAAACGGGGGTTTTAACATCCTACTGTTCTGATCTGACTGGGCTAATTAAGACGGGCATATCCCATACAGTGTGCCATGAAGGATATGTTGAATGGACAGCGGCCTACTCTTACACCAAATTCCACATTAAATACAGAAACTTGTGTTAAATCAGCATTAAGCGGGGCTTATGTCGACTTTGCAACCAAAAGGAACTAGTTACAGTCAGTTGCAAGAGTGCTTATGTCGATCATATCAGCAACTGAGGACAACTGGGAGCAACTGAATTCGGAGCGCTGTAGACTGCAACTAGTTGCTGCTAGATGCAGCAAGTTGAACATGTGCAACTGACTGCAACTAGTTGCTTTGAGTTGTAAGAGGCGCTCAGGTCGACTTTTTTCAGTTGCTTTCAGTTGCTCCCAGTTGCCGAAACGCCAGTTGCTTTCAGTTGCAAGGTCGACATAAGCCCCCCTTTATACCATACCAGAGTTGTGTAATAAAAGAGGAAACAATGTTATAATTTGTTTACATGTTTTAATCATTTCATACATACATAGCTCTCTATAGCAAATTATTATAATCTGGTGCACATGCATTATCTACGCTCATCATCATTTTAACATCGGAATTGCCATTATCATATCCAGAACACAAATTGTGAAAATAATAGAATACTCAAAGCTTAAGTTTCTAAGCAATATAACCCTACTGTGGAACATTTACCATCAATTACTGGTGCCAATGGTCAACTGGAACTACCAGAATCTTTATTATATATAGAGAGACAATGCATGTATATCTAGAAATATGTTAATAAGTTCTAAAGAATAATTAATCTGCTGCTGTATTCTTGCACATCATATCATTTCATAAACCACTTGAAGTCATTTTTTTTAAATCTTGTGTTTACTGAAAATATACCATTTTTTTTTAACCATAATCTACAATAAGTATTAATATTATCTAAGTATTAATGTCTCTTGTCTCTTATTTTCTACATTATGTATTGTATAATTGTTGAGAGCGAGACATTAAGTAACATATTGATACAGCACAAGGATGTTAGTTGTTTCGTTTCAATATATTACGAAATGTCATGATCAAAACTATTAAACAACTTAAAATACAGACACTATCCTGCACGTGCATTTTAATGAAATCATCAAGCGAGTTCAATATTTCAATAATTTACGATTGGCACGTTATCCATACATTTTTTTAAACAATGGTACGCCAACATTATAGAATGACGGCACACCTATATTTTAATAGTATCTAATAGAAATATTATTATGTTTTATAAGTATTAACATAATCTAATATTAAATCTCCCTATTTATCATTGTTGGTGATATCACTTCAGTGGAAGCTGACATTAAATAAAGCTATTTCACACTTGTCACTTAGGTGGAAGCAAACCTTAAATAAAGCTATATTCACACACTGTTACTACCTGAACTAGAATGTGGTCCCAACTGTCAACAATCTGCACCAGCAGATGTTCATTAATAGAGACTTATCTTCAGAATACATGGCTTAAAATCTTAGGAAAAATGTTTATTTCATGTGTTATCTGATATCCCAATTTCATACACCCTTAAATTAAAACTATGAATGTTAAATGAAATTTGTCGAGGATCCAGCACAAAATATATAAATATTACAAAAAAGCAGTTTACAAAAATTATGGTCCCTGTTTTGAATATTATGGAATAAATATAATAAGACAAAATAAAGATGAAAATACTGTTGCTCAAAATATCATTTAATATTATACTTTTCTGTTAAACTCATGCTACCCAACAGTTCTTGGAACAATATGTGGTAACTATGAATAAACTCAGGTACATAAAATTCTATATATCGTTGGCTAAAACGTATAATTATATATATTAATAAGCTAAAACGTAAGTCTTTAAAAAACAATCTAGCACTAATTATTTTTCTCGGTTTCTATTGCTGACTTCAATGTCATAAAAATAACTGGTACAAAATGGAGATAGTTTAGGGTATACACTCAATTCTCAAAGATAAAATTTCCCATGGGGCTCTTTGAAATATTGCTTTAATTGAGCAGGATATTAAGTTTTGTCTGACAATACTTGGTGACGATAAGGTTGCAGTTATTTGGCAAACAAGATGGAATACATGAATGAATGAGGAATGTGACCATATTTGGTTAATAATATATTCTCGAGTCCCTTAAAAAATGCATTATGTAAGGTTTAGATAAAGAGCTGACCGTTCCTGCTATAATAGATAATGAAAAAACAAATGTATTGAAAATTTCAGTCAAATTGCTTTATTCGGCGCAAAGTTATGAATGTTTGAAGTTTTGACAAGATATAGCCTAAATAGAGTTGATTATCAAGTACCATTGCTACGATAATAAACAGAGCCTTGATTATCCATATTAACATTAAATTATTAAATGGTGCGAGTGTTCTAATCCATTTAATTTTTTGGCCATCTGATGCCTAGAGAGTTGATTATAGGCCGGTCATGTGTATAAATGTCTAAATACTAGTTTATATAAGATTTGAAGCCAGAAAAAGAGAGACCTGCAATACACAGATTTAGCTCTTACATAATGCATCTTTAATGCAGTTTTAAAAATAAAATGACTAATAATAATTAACTGGCAATTTATTTAACACGCAGATTCTAATGTTCATTTATAATATTTATCAGTGGATTTCTTTTTTCTTATTCATAAAGAAAATTAAATAATCTAATTACAACTCTAATAATTACAACCATATTTGACAAAGCATTTTAAAACATTTAAACATATGAAAATATCACGTGATTCGACACATTTACCATTAAAAGATATGGTGTCTAATATACTCGTCAACAATTAAATCTTACCAGGATGGAGAGATGTAAACGTCCAACACAAACTTGGTCATTTTGGGAGTAACATAGAATTCAATTTCATTTCAATAATTTGTTTAGCGTAGGGGTCTTTAGCAGTGTCACGTACAAGCGGGGAATCGAAACCACGCCACTCGACTTAATAACATCCCATGGTAATTCAAGTTTTCCTTCTCTGGGTATTTTCTTATTTATCAGTAAATTAAACACCATTCTTTTATAAAAATCATATTAAACATTCACTCAGATCATTCAAATTGCATGTAAAACCCGATGTGACTATTTACATAGAAGAATTCATAGAAAATAGATACACAAGTCTTCTTATCTTCTTAACAAATTTATTCAATATTAATTCATTTATCTAATAAAAAAACAAATTTATTCAATATTAATTCATTTATCAAACGAAAAAAACAAATTTATTCAATATTAATCCATTTTTAAAAAAATAAAATAAAATAAACTTAAGATATTTTAAAAATCAGAATTTAGAAAAATCACCAGTAAATATTTCAGAGGTATTTGATCTTTATGCCACACATATAGTCATCCTTTTCAACACAATTTGTGTTTATTAACCTTGCTAAAAATCAACTCACATGAAAACCAGCCATATATTTAAATTGCATTGTTTAAGTTAAATTGCACTAGAGTACTAAAATGCTTTAATTCAAAAAGTATGAAATGATTTATTTTATTTAACTTTGGACTGTCAATAGTAAATAATTTCATATCAGATTATCATGAGAAATAAGAACATTGTAAAATGTTTATCATATTTTATTTTTGAGTGTGTTCCATTAAATTGAAATTTTCTTTTTTAAATTGAGGTTTGTATGCATGACATTAAAATTTATTTTACAATCAACTTCAAATTTGTGACTTTGTATAATTTGAGCGACAAATTTTTCTTAAAATCACAAATTGAACAGTCTCTATGGCCATTTAAAATAGAATTTGGTTTTTGTCCTAAAAATCAAAATAAACAAAATAGTCATAATTTAAACCTAAAACAAGAAAATAAACAATAAGGTTTAAAATTAAACCCAAAAATTCACTAACAATTTTTTTTCACAACAATTATAAACAATGTTATTACCATACCGTTACCTAGGTAACGCATAAATTATTTTTTACTTCTGTAGAAAAATATAAATCGTTTATTATAATTTTAATAAATTCATTTATGTGATATGTAATAATTAAACGGCACAATTAAATGTGCACACACATTAAGCTAATCTACACTTGAGTTACATAGAATTCTGTCTGGATATCCGTATCTATTTTGGTCCTGAATAACCAGTTTTTCATAACAATATTCACAGTGTGTTAACATAATATACACCAGAGTAAAAAAAGAAAACGGTAACAATGAATGGGATGAATTTTGCGTAAATGATGAAGAAACACGGCATGTTAAAACAAATACACAAATCAAGCACAGTTTTTCACATTTACGCATCTTTCATAAGGTGAATTTATGCACAAGATGAAGAGTTATGCTCCATTTACCAGTCTCTTTTCTGGCATGAATGGAAAGTACACATCACGATGATAAAATGCACAATGTTTTTGTTAGGTTTTTTTTTTTCGGTGATGGATGTATCACAACATTTCACTATCCATACCGTATTGTACAGGTGCAGGATTTGTGTTCAACGACGGTTCAGTCTGTCTTTGTCTGTATTTTTTAAATTCCTCACGTAACCTATCAAATCTCTGTTCGTTATCGTCATGACTACGATTTAATCGTCTAGGTTTAGGGTAAGGGTTAGTAACATCCTTCCCTGGAGCACTTAATTGAGAATAGTTCCTTAGAGCATTTAAAATGTCGTTTTCTAACGCGTTAATCGAATCAAATTCGTAATTTTCATCACCAGATGTGTCACGTCTGTGATTTGAACTTCCATCTAAAAAAGGCGACGAGTCCTGGCTGAGATCTTCTTGAGGTGTCAATAAAGAACTAAACGATAGACTGCCTTTCCCCATTCGATGTGGATATGAACCCGTACTTTGAGATGTATTACGACTTCCGATGCCACTACTTGTGGAATCTGGAACACTTTCATCTCTCGGTCGAACATTTTTCGGAGCGAATAACCGCGGCTGACTTCTACTGTGATCACGTTCATCATACGGTTCCAAATCTGACGTATAATACGGGGCAGCACGAGGTTTATTGAAACTTGAGATCGGGGATGTGGCACGAGCGGTAGGAACTGGTCTAGGTGATGTTGATCTTGCTGGATCTAAGAAACCATTATCGTCATGGTTACGTGTAGGACTAGTAGAATATGGAGATCTTGGAGTGCTGCGTAGTCTGTCTACAACCCCCTGGAGGTGATCGCGAGTATAACCCAGAGGTCGTCCACTACTGTTACTACTATTCTGGTCGTCTTGTGGAGGAGGATGGGCAGGAGGTTGCTGGGAAGGGGGTAACCAGGATACTTGAGGATCGCTTAAGGAAGGGGATGATGGACCATCCATATTATGAGGAGACGGATCTTGATATCGGGGGCCTAGCTGACTAGATGGATAACGAGGAATGGGATCGCGCGATCTATCGGAAAATGAGGGCATGACAGAGCTCATGTCGTTGAAAGAGAATGGCGGTTCTTCCGTTAGGTAGGTCATTTGTGCTGGCTTCATGGAACTGTGACGCGGATAGTTAGGACGTGGAGCAGCTACAGGTAAAGCTCGTGGAGAGAAGACATCATCCTCCTCATCACTATGGAAACTGTTATAAGGTCCTTCATAAACTTGATTTGATGGTCGACCAGAAGGGGGGTTTTGCATTGAGATGGATACCGGTCTGAAGGCAGTAGCAGGAGATGGATAAACATCAACATTATCCACTAGCGACGGTCTGGGGCGACGTCCGTCTGGTGTATCAAATTCGGGAACCTGTCCTCGACTTTTGACACTTCCTCTTGATAAAGATCTGTCTGCTGCTAAATGGCGCATATCAACAGGATCTGCCCAATCTGCCACACCATAACCTCGCGTAGGATTGTACGTTCGCTGATCACGATCGTAGAATCGAGGATCATGTAAGTATGAACCCCTGTTCCTGCTGGTATCCATCGTGGCTGTACCTGGTAACACAAACACTCCAGATTCTTGGTTACTTCCTGTTATAATGTCTCTTCTAACATTTGATTGCCACTGATCCCGTTTTGTCGGAGCTTGACTGAAAAAAACAAAAATGTGCAGATTAGAACTTCTTAAAGTACTACAAAAATTGTTAGATCTTCTTTCCCTCAAAGAAATAATCACATTTACTGACAGTTTCAATAGAGAAATAATATCAATGTCCTCAGCAGAAATCATGATTCATGTCGAATTATAGCTTAAAGCTAAATAATGTTTAATTTGGCATCAATCTGTTGCAAATCTACAAACATATTTTAGACCATAGTTTGATTTTTACATGCCATGTAGTTTGTTTATTTCAAAGTCTTTTGACCTTCTTAATTCAAATTGATTAATTTACTCGTAGATACTATTAGAGGTAGGGCTCGGTTTTCAAAAATAGACATCCATAAAAGAACATTTGAATGGACTGTTATATATTTATAAAATAAGACAAATCAACAAGAAAGAACCACATAATATTGGAAAAGACATAGATAAACCCTGAAAAAAAAATTGCCTAATATGCAAACAAACAAAATATTATGTTCCCATCAAAGAAAAAATACACATAATTACAAAAATAACCAAATTTTTCTTAAAATAAAATTCTGTTTAAAGTTTACATTATTAATAATCAAAACACAACCACAATAAATTTATTTTCTACTTAATTGTACGTAGGAGACAGTTAAAAAAAAAAAAAATAATAAAAAAAAACACCCATGAGTGATGAATAAAAAAAATGTAATAACGGTACCAAAATAATTTCCATTTATAGCCTTACTTTTAACCCTTAAATGGTCAATGTCAAATATGAGTGAAATTTTGCCCGAACAGCAGCACTATGGCCTACTCCTTATATCAAATTCCAACTGTCAGGGTTCTTTAACGTGCACGCCAATGCATACACGGGTATTTTTGTGCCATTCGAACGACTAGACAAGGGGAAACCACACCGGAAAGTCCCAAGGAATTTACTTGGTAAACACCGGGAAAGAACCCTCCAGACTAGCGAACCAGCTAGCGAGCCAGCATCTTACTCACTGAGTCACCACAACTGCCAGTGTAGTAAGCTCCATACAATTTTCAGCATAAGCAGTTAAGGGTTAAAAGCAAGTGAGATTTATGAAAACAGAAAATAAAAACAATGAGATGTGTTATAATAATGATATATACATGTACATGTGTCATCTAAATACATTCCGTTGTCACCTTTTCTATGGTTTCTCCTGGGTTAGCATTAATAATTATACAAAACATTTAACAATAGCAGATAACATTGGTTGCCAGATAATGAAACATACGTCCACAGCAGTTAAGTCGCCCTAATAGTCCACAAAGGTTGTTACAAATTGATTGTAACAGGAGCATTTACAATACACTAAAAACTGATCAAGAGTAACAACACATTAAGTAAATTATCAGAAATAATTTAAAATTTGATTGGCATTTAGTGTTTCCTAATGTTAACATTTATTAATCAAAACATGTATCCGTAATCAGATAACTTTTGCTGTTCGCATTCTCAGAATTCATTGAAAATCAATGGATTACTTATGCCATGACTGTAAGAATTTTAAATCAAATTTAGTCAATAGAAGGTCCACAAGATTTTAAAAGTGTGTAAGGGGAAAGTAACTACAAAAGTATTTTTCGACTTCTTCATCTCATGAACATAAATACTGTATAATAAACATAAAGGCAATCAAAAGATAGAGTGTCCATAAGATTTTATCAAAGTGATCAAGAGCCATAACTTCAACAGTAGTTATTTGAAAACATTGATAATGACCAGGGTGCTTCATGAACAGAAACATTCTGTATAAATTACAGATAATAACTATATCCTCTAGGGCTAAGCGGACGGATGGCGGTGACGACAATATACAACCACAACACGATCGTATAAAAATACAAATATATATTATTCAACTGTTATCTAAGACAGATTAAAATCAAGCAATTGCTCCAATTAGCCTTTCATAAATTTAATTAAAAATTATATAATTTAAAACTGCTGATTGTCATTTGTGTGATTTTTGATCCATTGCAAAATACAATATTATAAAAGTTGTGTCTCTTAAAAGGTATATGGGTTCAAAATGGTTCAATTCCATTCAGTATTTACAAAGATATGATAAATTGAAATTTATCAACTGACATCCTCTACAGATGATATGTAAACAAGTTAGTGGCACCTGTAAATGTTGAGTAAAGTCAATCTTTGAATCGACCTTTTTCAATCTAATTGAAACCAAGCCTGGAGATTATCTACCATGGATATTTCGTTTTTTTCGATTTTTTTTAATTTAATATTTAATTTTAGTACAATTTAGCGTAGATTAAGCCGTAGAAAATTAGATACAGTCCAATCAAAACAAGACGATCAGCAACTTTATATTCCCTCATGAATAAATTATCATTATTGATTTCAATCCTAAAATAATAATAATTACAGGTCATGAAAGTTGATATTATTCTTATTTATTTTTATATTTTAAGATATGCTATATAATAATTATATAAAGTTAAGACTTACTGTATTCCTAAATCTGTTTCATCTGCTTTAGAATAATTTACATCGTCTGAAAGAAACAAATGTTGAAATAAAACTAGATCATAATTTATAAACTTGGTTGGTGGGAGCAAAAGGGGGTTCACCATGAACTGATCACCAAATATATTTTCCTGTTAAGACCAGAGAGAGAAAGAAAGAAAAAGAGAGAGCGCTCAACATCCATTCAACACAAACTAGGTCATTTCTGGACTAACATACAGTTCAATTTTCTTTCAATAATTTGCATGTACATATGGGTCTTTTAGCAGATTGGGAGGAAACCAGAGGAGAAACTCCACAATGCTGGACTCTCAATCCTACTATTTGTCACATACAAGCAGGGAATTTAAACTATGTCACTTGACTCAATGGCCGACCTCATGATCTGTTCAGCCATCTAGCAGTGGAGTTTGAATGTACAGGGTTACAGGGTTGTCATGGGTTATTTGGTTGATATGTTTGCCATGGGTTATATGGTTCTGATGGGTCATAAGGTTGTCATGGGTTAAACATGTACTGTTGTCATGGGTTATTTGGTTGCCATGGATTATATGGTTGTCATGGGTTATATGGTTGTTATAGGTTATAGGGTTACAATGGCTGACTTACTGTAGCGATTAACTTTAGCTTTTTGTTCTTTACGTTTACTATGAATCACGGCTATAACTGCTAATAGGACGGCAACAAGTAAAAACAACAACCCACCAACTATTCCTCCAATCAAAGCATCTGGCAGGCGAAACGGTTCTACAAATAAATAATAATAAATTATAGAAAATATAGACTCCAGTTCATCAACACATTCACATTATGTATAGCATGCTGTTTGTTATAAAAAATTAATATATTTAATGAAACAATATATGTATCAAATATATGGTTATATATTACACTAACATCTGACACTAGTAATTGTAATTAAAATAGGAAAGGGATGAAGTGGGAAGCAGGCTTTAAAAAATTCTAAAGGTTCTTATGTTTTCAAAAACACACTTTTATGGATAACAATTACTATGGTTTATTTCACTGCGACGTTTCAACAAGGTTTCACAAGTCGTTATCAAGCATATACATGTATATGCTTGATAACGACTTGTGAAACCTTGTTGAAACGTCGCAGTGAAATAAACCATAGTAATTGTTATCCATAAAAGTGTGTTTTTGATTATGTTCCAATTACTAAATGCCATTCAAAGAATATAGGTTCTTATGTTTATTTGGACATAGAAAAAAAAAATTAAGTAAAAAAAATGCCTTCAAGCCATTGGGTTGATGGGTTAAAAAAAAATGTACAAACAATATCTGTAAGAGGTACAACAATACAACACAATCAACACGAAATGAAATGGGGTTTAACGTCCTACTGTTCTGCTCCGACTGAGGTAATGAGGAAAAAAAAATTGAAACAGATGGGTTTTAACCTCCTACTTTTCTGCACCAACCGGGTGATAAAGTACAGATAAACAGCGGCGCTACGACCTACTCTTATTTTAAATATCATGTGTTTTTTTACGTGTACACACGACTTTAGTATTACGTCTTTTCTGAACAACGAGATGCTGTTCCTTGACATGTCCTCTGTAAACACCAGGAGCAAGCCAAAATGTCCTGATTGGTGAGCCAGAGCCTAAACCACTGCGGTATCCAATTCTAAAATGAAGTCAGTGGAAAAGAACACTGTTTGGAAATTAGATCCTCATAATTAGCTTGCAGAAGGGATGTATTATTTTTTCCTATCAAGTAAGATTATTAAATTAAAGTCAGATAAAACAAAATATATTAAAAAATTGTAACAAGTAAAAATAATACAAACACTGAAAAATATCACAAATTGATAAAACAATCCAATGTTCATAAAAGAAATAAACATATTGGGTAAAGTAACACAAAATGGGTAATAATAAATGACTAAACTATAACATGAATTTGTAACCAAAAAAGGGACATGTAACAAGAATTCTCATTGGTTAATACCAGATGATGATGCGGGATTCCCTCTTCCTGTCCGAGAAGCTAGCAGCACAAAATAAACGTTAACAGCATATATTCACAGATGATCAAAATAGTGTTATTTTATAAGATATTATAAAAGAAGGGAACCCCATCTCAATGCAGCATTGTTAAAGTGTTTGATGATTCTTGGGTTACTACAAACAAGGAACTTTCTTGGTCAACATTGCAATCAAACTTAGCACCTCTTGGTTAGAAAGCTAGAACCACTCCAAGAATCACCATTGGAATGAGACTCCCAGTTTACAGACCAGTGATCTGAATCGCAAAAACACTAGAGACCATTAAACACATCCCTCCCCGCGCCCCCCCTATACATGACCAATAAAATTTGATAAAAAGGAAGATTTGTTGTTTTTAAGACAACGAAAACTCAACTGTGCTAGAAAACTATGAAAATTTTTTTGTAAAGCATTAGAAATCACTCTTGGACATAATGTAGCATTGTTTAAAGAGAAATATAATTTATGGTCCACTCTGCACAAACTACATGTAGGTCATTTCAGGGCTAACATATGGTTCAATTTTTTTTCAATAATTCACTTGCACATGGGGGTATTTAACAGTGGAAGGGAACTGGAGGACCCAGAGATGGTAAAATTTTATTTCAAGAATTTGCTTGTGTGGAAGACCTGGAGTAAAGCAACAAGGGTTGGGATTGAAACCGTGTTACTTGACTCAAAGACAGGCCTTATGATCTAAAGCGCACATATTAGACCATCCAGCCACCTGAACCCTTTTAGCATTACTGAAAACAATCAATTATTATTATTCATCTACAGTAACTAGAGAGAGAGAAATGGGGTTTAACGTCCACTTGACACAAACTAGGTCATTTTGGGACTAACATATGGCTCAATTTTATTTCAACAATTCGCTTGCATGTAGGGGTCTTTAGCAGTGGGTGGAACCGGAGGACTTGGAGAAAACCCACAAGGGGAATCAAAACCATGCCAGTTGACTCAATGACAGACCTAATGATACAACGCGCACACGCTAACCATTAGACCACCCACCCCCCCAATAAGTAAAGAAATAAAACATACCTGGTGTTGTATTAAATGTGACTATATTACTAGGTAAACTATACGCTAATACACCATACGATAAAACACGGATTTCATACAAAGTTCCTCGATTTAAATTACTCATCTTCATTAACAGTCTATCAGACGCCATCACAATGCCGTCATATTTCTGCCAATTGCCGTCTGTACGGAACTCAACAACATAATATAAAATAGGCACGCTGGAATTAGCGGGAGGTAACCAAGAAACTGTCACCTCATTTTCTTCCATTGCTATGGTAACATTGCGAGGAGGATTAGGTCGAGGACCTGAAATATAAAGTCAAAATAACGTAATGTCAAACATCAGTAGAATAAAAATTACCGCTAATATAACAGTTTCTTGAAAGGTCTGGCTGTTATTGTGAAATGTGTGGCAGACTTATTAATTGGGACTATCGGAAACGGAAGTGACAAAGACAGAACAGTCTTGCCCTTAACAGTGTAACAAAGTGGAGGGACCTTGACCTTAGTAACTGTATGTGCAGTGCCGGTAATAAATGGTATCCTTATTTGACTGACGCTGAGTCACTACGATCAATACGTAAATAAGACTAACCTATAAATTCTTGTATATAATTAAGACTAACCTTTAGATTCCTGTATATAAATAAGACTAACCTATAGATGCCTGTATATAAATGAGACCTGTATATAAATAAGACTAACCTATAGATTCCTGTATATCTGGTATATAAGTAGAACCATATTGATCTGTTGGTAGAGCTGTTACTAAATCACTTACATACCCTGTAAACATAGAAAACATATCATAACCTCTTATCTTTATCTAGGTTTAATCATCGCAGCTAGTGTAAACATAAATAAATATTTTATTCTATACATTTGTTTATTGTTTTCATGTAAGTTAAAATAAAATCCATACAATAATGCAAAATGATCGCAATATATTCTGAACACTATGTAAATCTGGTGTTGATTAGTAACAGCGACAAGTTAACTCATTCCCTATTTACTTCTCAAAGGATCATTCTCCTCCCAACAATCCAATACACTATTACTATAAGAAAAACCTGGAAGAATTAATTTACACTGAACACTATGTAATTCTGGGGTCGATCTGTGACAACGACAAGGTAACTCATTCATTCCTAATCTACATTTCAGGGAATCGACCTTCCCCCATATCAAATTATCCAACCATACTAATTCCATAAATCCAGTGTGTCTCTAGCTGACTCAATACTCTAGACTTCATTAATCAATTGAATTTTGGAAATCTGCAAATTAATGCTTCAAAACCATCTAGACCTATGGCTCGTTTGATAAAGAATTTGAATGAAGTGATCCAGAGCAAAGAGCCAGAAAGAGAGATTCAGGGGTTTGTTCTTGTGGGTTCCATGTATGACAGGCCAGTTAACAATATCTCATCCACTACATGTATTCTATGTCCAGATTTTGTTGGGGGGGGGGGGGTCTAATGTTATGTTAAAAATAAGTACAACTGAAGATTTTACTCCAGTTATTTTACAACTTTCCCTGTTCGTACGTATAGTACTGATTGGCAAATTTTGAATGTTTTATGGTTGATAGGGTAGTCCCCCGGAATAAACAGTTAAGAAACATTGTCATAGGAATCAGTGACCATCTTTTCCGACTGAAAGATTTGAAGTCATGTCCAAGTAGATTAAATAAAAGAATAAAAGAGACAGGCGTTTAAGAAGAAAAATACAAAAATAGCACGACAAAATGCAGTCAGACAACAATACCGAGCAACATGCTTCATAGAAATATATACATGCAATAGCTGAAATATACAGACATGCACCATGCCACTGATGCTCAATCCAGCATGCACTTGTGCGTAAAAAGGTGCATGCTAGCCAACATGCAACAAGATGCATCAAATGCAACAGAACCAATGAAGATTCCGAACATTGTAATCACATGACCACATATATCCAATCAAATCTCAGATATCAATATCAACTAGAGCTGCAATATCACTGTACGTCACCATAACAACATCACTGAAACCATTTTTAAAAAAAATGGTCACTACAGTTCTAATGTTTTTGAAAGCGATATAACGAAATGTGCAGTTATTATATACCCATGTTAGAAACTGTTGTGATCTCAACTGGCTCCTGGCCTGCAAGCAAATTGAAGGTTAATATATGCAAATATATGCGCATATCATTTGTGCCATTCGATGAAGAAATGTGATCACTTTATAACAGTAGTGAAAGTATATTTTTGTAGTTATAAATATATATCTAAAGGAAAGCTGGAAACAAAATATATAATTGTGAGGCTTCCCTCTTCCATCAAATTAGCAGAAGTTGAAGATTAAAGATAAATGAAAAATTTACTAAATAGATTAATCAAAATTAATGATTGAAAAGGCATACTTAAATAATTCAGTAGTTTGAAGAAGAAATAGTTAATTTATAATGCTAATTAAAAATTTGCATTCAAATCAAAAGAAATTCAGTTAAAGAAAGTAGTAATATGTGAAGACCCATGGATCATTTTTTTAAAATTTACTTAAGACTACATATAATTATTTCAGATTTCTGTGTTCAGTATGGAATTTATAGGACAATATCGTAGTTAATAATATCAATATATTTATCGAATTCTCATTCACTAAATGGAACTTGCTTACTTTACAGTCTAAACTAACCCAAGACATACATATATATTGGTTTCCTTTACTCCGGAGGGCAAGGCAAGATATTCGTAGAAACAGTGTGGCTCTAGGTTTGCTCATAAAGATTGATTTCTTATTGATATTATGTCAAAAATTAATTCTTTGATCTTGAAATAAAACACTCTATGTTTCCATAACAACCTGACCTAAAGAAGATGAGCTTATCATGCAGTGTGCTATCAGTATTTTGTACCTTCCAAATGACAAGCCAATTTTTCCTTAAGGAATTTTCAGTTTAGTGACCTCCAGAGTCCAGAGACATACTCATGAAACCTATTAATAAATAAGCTATACAAAGCAATGTTCTGATATTCTGGATCTCTGAGAAATTCCTTTCTTTTTTTATTATATCTCAATTAATCAAATCAAATCAGAAATAAAATTAATCTTTTGATAACCACTAATATCCGTGCTAAGTCTTTGTTTCCATTGATATATTATTTTAGAAAGCCCTCCCGTCTGAGAATATTGAAACCAATATATATGAGCGATCTCACCATCCACCAAGTATCAAAATGCACCAATCTCAATCAACAATCAGCACAAGGTCATTTCTATCATAGAGATTAACTTCCAAACAATCAAAATCTGGACGTGGTCAAAGTTTAAAGTTCAAAATGCAGCGGCACCAAAATTTCTGAAAGTCTGATTGATAATTTCATGTCTTTTCGGATAGTATGCAACTTTGGATTCTCTTGAAATAAATTTTAGGAATTAGACAATGACCTTTGAACCCTTGACCTATCAACAATACTCAGATACTGGGAATCGATAATCTTTAGAAACATTAACAATTAGATAGAAAAAGTTAACAATTGAAATAATAATTATTAACACAATTTTCAAAATTTTTAAAAATCTCAAATTGTTGAAGATCTACAAAAATATATCTTAAAACTTTCGTTTTTATTTTGCATCATCTAAAGTTAACTTTTTCTATCTCTTCATTACAAACACCACATCTCCATAAAAGCCATACAAGAAATGCCACCTACCTAAAGTTTTAGCTCGGACTCGTTCACTGTACATGCCATCCCCATATTCATTTCTTGATAAAACCATGAATTCATACAGGGTGTCAGGGTTCAGGGCATACAGGGTAAAGGTCATTGAATTTTGAGGGACTTGAATCGTCTGCCATGTGCTCCAGTCATTACTTAGGTAACGAAACCTGAAAATAATAATAAACATAAAAAGTGTGAACAACATTTGAGGTATTGCCAATACCTTGCAAAATACCATATTGTGAAGATGAATCAGTCCAAATTGTTCCTTTCTGTTCAATATTTACACTTATGATGAAATGAAAATCTTATAACATTCAGCATTCCTTTTAAAACCATATAAAGAAGCTGGTGCCACCTGTGAGTGATAACAATTTGTACATGTTACCATTTTTTTTCTCTTCTTAACACAATTTTCATATCAGCCCAACAGGCATCACCAAATAATGAAAAAATCTGGGTAAAAAATCTGTTGCTGGACTGTTTGTATGTTCCAACTCTAATACTTTCTACGAATTTCAAAATAAGAGTTGATTCCCTTGTAAAAAAAAACTGTTGGAAGTAGACGTTGTTCCAGCAGAGAAAAGAATAAATATAATCCGTGCTCTTATAAATGTGGTGGGCTTAACCCCAAACCAGAATCAAAATATGATTGGTTTGTTTGTTTGATTGACAGTGGTTGTTTGATTGATTGACAGTTATCAGCATGTCATAACCATGAAACTTACCATAAAACATAATATTGTGGACTTCCACCATCATAGGCTGGTTCCCAACTAACACGTGCAGAAAACAAACTGGTTACTACGGTAACATTATCAGGTGCATGAGGAGTTGTATCTGTAAAATATCAAGCAGGATTCTTTAATGAAATAGTTTCAGATCAGTGAGTCAGTGCAATATGCACTTTGCCACTGTGGCTTTTAGTGTAACTAACATGACAAACACATTGCTTTGTACAGTTCTCAGTCTCGACCGATTAAGCTATTAACAGAAATATGTAAACTCAATCATTTTGGCGTGTATGTGAATTTGTCAACCTTATTTTGAAATGAAAATGTCTTCTGGCTAGATATATAATTTTTTCCAGCAGGCTTCTTAACATGCCTCCAAGCTTCCAAGTATCTGGCTTTTAGAACCAGGAACTAGTCCCCAATTGCTACTCATTTTGTTCTTCTTCTTATCGTATATGCGACGCTCTTCAAAAAAAGTCTGAGGCTCCACCAATTCAATGATGGATAATTGTGCATTGATCGATGAACTTTGATTTTCGATATGCCGCCACAATTCCAAAATGGCTGTGAAGACGTCATGCTTAGTTCCTTGTCCATATAGTAAGCCTTTACCCAATGAGCATAGCCACCAGAAGTGTCATTTGAACCTACTGTCAATTAAGCAATAAAATATGAACTTACTCATTATGCGTACTTCTGTAACAGCTACTATAGTTGCTATATCATTTGTAGCCATACATTCATAAAAGCCATGATCTTCTTTTACCAGATTTCTTATAGTCAGATTACCAGCATTTATTTGTATTCTATCACTCCTTTCAAACTGACCTTTTGACTAAAATGGTAAAATACAAAAATTGAAATCATTATGAATTATATTTGCCATGTACATTTACATACATATTTGTGTTGTGTTGTCTGTACATTAGCACTGGCGGCTACTTTTTGGCTGTCCAAGTCTAATATTTGATGTATACACAGGCAGCTCGAGCTGTCGAGTGACATAGGCCTAGAAGTGTTGCACTACCACTTTCAGTTTTGGGATTATGCATCTTCAGTAGCACGAGCCAGCGAGTAACCTAGGCCTAGAAGCGTTCCACTACAACTGTTAGTTTTGGAGTTATCCGTCTTCGTTTTTATAAAACTCATATAAAGAAGTATCAGAGGGCTCTACCCATGCAACCCAGGTAAACAGCTAGTTAAATTATGCAAGCCTGGACATATGGCAACTGTCACAGACCGTCAGACACAAATTATCACACAACGTATATATTATCATAGATTGTGTGATAATTTGTGCTTGACAAAGTTTGTGACAGATGCCTTATGTCCAGGCTTGAACCTATGGTAAACAACTAGTGAACTTATGGTAACTTACCTTCTTCCATGATACAACTGGTGTTGGATTACCGGATGCTTTACACAACATAGATACAGTTTCACCTGTCTGTTTTAAATATAAAGCTGGAGGACGGACAGTAAAATATGGTGGATCTGAAATTTACATCAAGTTCAATTAATTCAGTAAAAAAATCTGTGTATTTATTTCACAACACAGTTTTCCCTCTAAAAGTCAACAAAATATTTGCACATTAAGACTTGCTAAAATTATAAGTGAAAATGAAAATGAAATGAAATGGGGTTTAACGTCCTACTGTTTTGCTCCGAACTGGGCTAATGAAGACGGGCATACGCCATACAGTGTGCTATGAGGGAAATTTTGCCCGGACAGCGGCACTACGGCCTACTCTTATATCGAATTCCAACTGTCAAGGGATCTTTTACGTGCACGCCAATGTGTACACAGGACCTCGGTTTTTCGTCTCATCCGAATGACTAGACAGCTTTCCTTGTCAGGCCCTCCGGAAAATTATAAGTAAATCAAAGTCTTTATCCCCCATGTTCAAATTAATATTCTGTCAGTTTAACTTTGGAGAATAATATTAAGTTCTAATAAAGCGCTAGACTCAAATAGTCCTAAAAATGGCTTATATGGACATTTAAATAGGCAGGTTTCGAGTTATTTGAAGATGCTGTTAGATTGGGACATTTCTAGTTTTAATGGGAGAGAGTTCCATTCATGTGTTGCATCATAGACAAATGACCTGCAACCTAATGACTTCAGATTATAACTTAGAATATGTTTCGAAAACAAAAACAAATAACCAACAAAAAAGAAAGGTGAGACGGAATAAAATGTCCAAAAAGTAAACATTTTTCACACCAAACCCAAACTTAAAACCTTTATAAAGACAAGTGAAATTTTTATAAAATATAGATAGCACCATTCTCTTTAAAGGAAGCAAAATGATGTAATGCAGATCAGAATCTACCAACAGCATTGAAAATTGCATTGAAACCACATTTGAGAGGGGAGTGCAAAAACATTAAATTGAAGATGCGAAGCTTGTCATTACATCCCCTTCACCTATCCCTTAGAATAAATTTCTCAGCAGCATCAATACTTTGGTCATTTTGAGAATAATTTAAGGTCATTTTTGTGATTTGTATGGTTATATATGTCCGATGCCTGAGGAGGAATTTGGCTATAACTAACCACCAACATACATATTAATCAGAATAAGATGTCTACATAATATCTTCATTATAATATTAAGTCTTACCAGTAGCCTCTGCCATAACAATAAGAAAGCATTAAATAAAATATTACAAAATACACAAAAACAGTTAAATTATTTAAACATAGGTCAATAATGGGTAAAAGCTTAACAGATAAACATGTGGTAAATGGGTTTTTCCACTATTCGGGTGGCAATAGGTTAGATACATTCAATATATATTCAAAAACATATCTAATTTAAAAATCCTATATCATTAATATTAAAACAGTAATTGCTAGATTACATAGCAAATAAAAATGAATGGAAAGGCAACTATCAATACTTCCATCACATTAAATATATATTGGGGTTTGTTAATATAAGAAACTTCAGGTAGGAAATTGGAACATGAACACACAAGAGTTGATCAGACAAATCACAAGTACATGTACATGTATATTACATATAAACAAACAGAGACACCAACAAAATCAATTTTTAAAAAAAATGATCAGAATAAAGAAAAAAATTTAAAAATGTACATAAATATTTGTCAGAGTGGACAGAAACAAAGAAAAAAATCAACTGCTAAGGTACGATTCTGCTACTAATATGTCTCAAGAATATCCCATTGTTAAGAGTGTTCATGGAGCGAAACAAGTATAAGTCTACCATGTACCAGGAACCAAGTATGAGATCATCACAGTTATCTTGGACTTATGACATGTTGGCACAAATCGATGCACAATTGTCTAAGGAACATACATGACTAGTTTTCAGCTTTTTGTGAACATTACCCTCAAAAGCAAGGATAAGATGACTAGTATCTGGTCCAAAAAATCAAAAACAGTTTAAATGGAATGTTCATAGGTTCACCTTACGAAGGAGTGATTGGGGAGTTTAGTGGTCTGGATTAAGCAACACAAACAGATATAGTGGACTGGATATAGAAACATATACACAGATATAGTGGACTGGATATAGCAACATATAAACAGATATAGTGGACTGGATATAGAAACATATACACAGATATAGTGGACTGGATATAGCAACATATACACAGATATAGTGGACTGAATATAGCAACATATTCACAGATATAGTGGACTGGATATAGCAACATATACACAGATATAGTGGACTGGATATAGCAACATATACACAGATATAGTGGACTGGATATAGCAACATATACACAGATATAGTGGACTGGATATAGCAACATATAAACAGATATAGTGGACTGGATATAGCAACATATACACAGATATAGTGGACTGGATATAGCAACATATACACAGATATCGTGGACTGTATATGGCAACATATACACATATATACTGGACTGGATATAGCAACATATACACAGATATAGTGGATTGGATATAGCAACATATACACAGATATAGTGGACTGTATATGGCAACATATACACATATATACTGGAATGAGTATATCAACAGATACACAGATGTAGTGAACTGGGTATAGCAAAATTTACACAGACAACCAACAACAACTTTACTAAACACTGAACGACATCCTACATGGTAACTGAATAACAATGACACACAAAAACAATGGCTGAACCATACACCTTTCAATTTAACATGGTAACTGAATAATACTGGGCACAAAACTAAAAACAAGGCCAAATTGTAATGTGGCAACCAAATAACAAATGACACAAACAGTTGGTAACAAATATAACAAATACAAAATAACAAATACCAACGCATTCAATATGCAGATGGTAATATAACAGATGCAATCAACGAATGTGTGGAACATTTTTATAACAGAATAATTTCATTTTTCTTGAAGTTTGTATTTTACCTGCCGATTTCCATTTAGTTTCTATTTTCATTTCTTAAACTGACTTACATTTGTTGGCTGAACAAAGTTTTCCAACAAAAGTTAGCCGGCGTGCGTTGGATTTCATCGCGAACATTTGTTGGTCGAACAACATTCGCGAGATCAAACTTGTTTCGCTAACGATCACATGGTACAGAAATGGCTGACATGACCATTTTGTTACCACATGAGGTTTGGGTCATTCAAGTGACATCAACGTCAGTCTCTTTTGAACAAATGTTGGTCGTTGGTGTTAGACAGAAATTTAAAAAAGGTATAAAACTTTTGCTTTGTTAGTTGGTTTAGGCTGGGCTTTAGCAATCATCTTAATTAATTTACCCATTGCATAAAGAGTCTTTTAAAATTTTAGTTTATTAAATTAACCCTTCAAAAAATGCAAGTGGGTTTCGATAAATTGTAAGCATAATGCAAATTATGGAGATAATAAGTAAAATCTACTTTTAGAAATTCAAAATATTATACACACTAAAAAATCACATGCAACACTGAACAAGCTGCCAATCAAAGTAAATTACCAGTAATGACAAGCGTTTCTCAAATAAATAAATGTCAACAATTCTTGGAACTAGTCTCGTAAGCTTACTATCTTAAACAATGCTAGATAACAACTCATACAATGTTTATAAGTTATAATATATACGCACAATAACAACATAATACACTAACATAGCAGTTCTTCTTGTAGCATCTGTACATGCCCTGTAAAACTTTATTCTTGACCAAAAATATCTTTATTCCTCCACAACAAAGTTTTTCAATCCATGAATTGTTTAGAAAATAATGAAACTGTTTTATTAATCTTTTAGCCTTAACAGACCGCCCCAAACTGCATGAACTAGTAACAAGTTCTATAACAAGGAAAGTCACTAACATATCTCGGGCAGTATAACAGCAGCTTCGGATTGTCCAGGAATGCATCATATTAATATATCACTTTTCTCTAATCTAATGTAATGAACAGAATATGTTATTCTTTATTTTCAAGTAAAATAACTGGTCTTTATATAGCTGAATATGTGTTGGGTTTTTTTTTCGGGGAGAGGGGAATACCTTTTAAATCACATCTTTGACTAATGTGTTCAAGCACATACATGTAATGGAAGGTATTGTCAACTGGCTTATCTGGTTCATGAAAGATAATATGTGCATATTTGTCAGGTGTCTTTTTATGAACATAAAGTATATAATATACAAAACATACATGTATGACATTTGTTTTCTACTGGGTGTGTACACAAACACAACCTGTCAGTGATTCCGCCAACACAACATCATAATCTACTGAGTTACCACACTATATACATGTACTGAGTTACCACACTATATACATGTACTTTCAGACAAACACTTTCACTGGTCACATTCAGATGCCAATGAACGAGAGAGAGAGAGAGAGAGAGAGAGAGAGATATTCTGACAACACAACATCATACTACTGAGTTAACACACTATATACATGTACTTTCAGACAAACACTTTCACTGGTCACTTGCATGATGCCAATGAACCAGAGAAAGAGAGAGAGAGAGAGAGAGAGAGAGAGAGAGAGATCTAAGATGGACATATTCATTGGCTCCTTCTAAAACACAAAACTAACAAAAAAAAACATCAGGAGCTGCAATGAAAAATTCTAGTATACATGTAGATACAATGGTTCAATGGTTCACAAATCGACCAATGAACAAACAGAATACAAACATACCTCGAACGAAAACTTGTACTTGAGGTGACGTCTCACCACGACCGAGTAGACTAACGGGGGTACAGCTATAACTCCCAGAATCCCCGGATGATGCATTGAACACCACCAGTGTTCCATTATGTAAAATATTACGATTATTATTTCTATCTACTATTTGAGCATCTTTTGTCCAAATTGTGTCTGTCATAGGTGGATTAGCATCTACTGGACAATCTATTTTTTCACGAAAACCGCGGGCCCACGTTAATTGACTTGGCATTGGTAAAACTTTTGGTAAGTCTGCAAAAAAAAAATGAACAATAATATCATTTATAATTCAAATGGCATGACTTGACTAAATTACTGATTATTTAAAGTAAGAATTAAGATAGAAACTAAATAAAATAGGGTTTAATGTCTTCATTGTTTTTGCCATCCAGACAAATGAAGACAGGAATACAGCATATAATGTGTCATGAAGGAAGTGTTGCCCAGACAGCTCAACATAACCCATTTTCCAACTGTCAGATGATCTTTAATGGGCTACCAATGGTTGACACAAAAAGAATATGAAATGAAATGGGGTTTAATGTGCTACTGTTCTGATCCTATACTGGGCTAATGAAGACAGGCATACACTATACAGTGTGCTTTGAGGAAATTTTTGCCTGGGAAGCGGCACTATGGCCTAATCTTATATCGAATTCCAACTGCCAAGGGATCTTTTATGTGCACGCCAATGTATACATGGGACCTTGATTTTTCGTCCCATCCAAACGACTAGACAAGGGAAAACCACGCCGGAAAATCTTAATGAACTTTTTCGGCCAATGCAGGAATCGAACACCCGACATCCAGGCTAGCGAGTCAGCGTCTTACCCACTTAGCCACAGTGGCTCACACACAAAGAGAATAAATGCAGTAGGCCTATACACCATTCCAGCCACAAATGAGATGATTGCATTTTAGGTCAAAATATACAAATTTAGACTAGTCTAGTTTCCTTCAATAAAACAGTGAGACCAATGCCATCACAGTGCAATATATGCCACACATTCTAGGCCTACTCAAAATGACTGATTCATTCAGATTAGAATAAGGCCCATCAAAGGATTTTAGCCTAGATTATAAGTGGTGCTGGATTGCTTTAACCATATCCTCTCTATGTTGTCTGTAGATGATATTCAATGTTGAAAGAATTTCAGTTTGTCATATTTATTCAATTAGGCAATAATACTACCAGTCAATCTAATGTTTTTATAGGCATAAATTTGTATATCTTTAATTGAGATTTTTTATGAGTTATTGATAGTTTTTATTCATTTATTATTATATATATACTATATATATACTATGTGTAGTACGCTCATGTAAAGACGGTTGAGACAATTTGTGTGTAACGGTCTATAAAAAAATATATATTATTATTATTATTATTGTACATACGGAATTGACTCATACGTGGACAGTTGCATTCTTTAGGGACACAACATTCCCAATATTGTAGGGGAATAAAAATATCCCACATGACAATCAGAGACTCTGATATATCCAACTTACATGTTACATTTAAAAATGCTGCAGCTTCATCCTCCCCTATACCGTTACTAGGACGACACAGAAACCATCCCATATCACCCTTGACAACAGAAGATATTAACAAACTTCCATCAGTACTTATGCTTATTCTTCCAGCCTCGAAACCAGATAATGTGCGTACGTCTATTCCATCTTTAAACCAGTAATAGGTAATATTATTTGGGTATGCCTCAGCACCACACGAAAACTGTATCCTCTGACCCAAAATGGCTGTCATATTTCTTGGGGACAGCATAATATATGGACCACCTGAAAAGACAAAATATTCCATGGATTAAGTAGTGGGTCCTCAAGATATCTAAAAGTGATCAAGGGCATTAACTGCAAAAGATTATCAGCAATTATTCAAAATCAATATGTTTCTTTGTCTCATGGACATACTAAACAATGCAAGCCAATTGGATGTCTCATGCTGCTGGGAGCCGTTGCGGACACGACTTTACACCGAAAACCACTTCTACAGTGTATAAAACAGTAAATTGTCTGCAGATGTACCTGAGGAGAATATTAAGTCCATGCACTTCGATAGTCTTCTTTTTTATAATAAGATTGTAGGGCAACAAATGATTGTTTGATACAGATTTATTTTTCAATAGATCTTTCCTTGAATGAGAGTAATTAGACCCCAATAATAATAATACATGTTATTAAAAGTCAAGTGTCAGCAGTTTTAATGCCTATTTTAAAAGTGTGAGAATTGTTTTTATTATGGATCTGTTTGATGAATTCTTATTACAAATGATGTACACTTCCAGGGATCTAAATGTACATGTCCCCCTATAAAGCGGTTACTTCTATGATACTTGCAATCCTCTTTCAATAAATATTACTATAAATAGAAATACTCAACACCTATATATTTGTTCGAGGACCAAAATCACAAGCACAAATAAATCAGTCAAATATGAAATGTAGCACATTTTTTTTTTTGCATATACATATACAACTACATAGCTTTTATGAGCAATGTTTTCTCTCGCCCTCTAATCCCCTTTCATGTAAATGAACTAATCTAGTGACCTGAAGGGTCATAATTCTGTCAATCAAAGAATACACAGTTCAGTAGGTCTTACCTACAATGGGCATGTTAATAATAACAGAGAAAGTTTGGTGAGAAAATAATTTAGATGATTATGCACATGCTAAGCATACATACAGCAACAATGGACCAGTAATGTCAGTTTTTTTCTGTCTATGAATTCAGGTATAAAAACTAATATAGTTTAACAAAGGTTTACAGATTCAGACACGTTTAGTAGATTATTATTCTGTGTGAACTGTTTTGTTCCTTGATTATTAATCACATGTAAATAAACGACCATAAAATTGGACAACAATACCACTTCATGATTCATAATAATGAACTGAATATCTAATATTGAAGACACTAAGATTAGATTTATGCAGGAAGTTTAATCATTTATACAAATAATCTAATATTCACATTCAAATAAATTGACATTTAAATATTTTTCATGACTATATGAATTTATTTAATCTAATTTTTGTCTTAAATACAGAATATTTAATATATTAATTCAATAAAATCCATTAATATTCAAAATTATGTTTGATTGATTTATAATTTGTAGGAATCCGTAAATTCACTAAAAGATATCCAAAGATTCATTATGTGCATGTATTCAGATTTTCAAATAACCAATATTGATTTTAAATATTTTAATAGTAAAACGAGCATTTGATGTTACTACTAAAAGTAAACTAGATGAAATGTGGCAGAAGAAAAATAGCCATTTTCCTTCAATTTATCTAATATGAAAACTGAAAAGTGTTCCTTAACTGTAACTTATCATAAGCAATCAAAGAAAGAATCTCTGATAATATCTTGGCCTAGATGTTCATGGACAGAAGCAATTACAAGAATTCAACATTAACTAGTTTTGTGGTTATAATTTAGGAAATGGCTTATATTAATAACTATGCAAATCTGTTTTTGCCAAAGTTTTCTTTTTAGAGCATCTGATAGCTAACAATTTATGTTGGTATACAAACACTAAGAGCATGTCACATGTGATGTCAAGAAACAAACCATAATGTCATCAAAACAGCTTACTCTTTGTATAACAGCTGAGAAGAACACATAGTTAACAATGTTTCTTGTATGTTGTATATATATAACCTACATATTACATTTTCTAGAACACCTGATACCACTTCCATTTATTTGGGAAGAACACACAGCTAACCATCTTTGTTGTATGCTGCATATAAAGACTATATGTATTTAACTTAAGTCATGTTTGATGTGAAGGATGGAGACAAGGATGTCATCAAGACAGGTTCTATACAAACATCGAACCCACCCATTGATTGGGGCTTGCCAAGAATTTATCCTATTGTTTGGACCCAACATTAACACTCCAGTCTTTGGATGTGACAATATGTCCATTTTCTCGACTAACGCAAATATAACGTTTTTACTACACTTGCATAAAAAGCTAAGTGACCAGACGCCGACGACCATGTCCGTCTGTTTCTACCTAATGGCTACAGATTAAATTAAAGACACCAAACTAAGCTGGAAACTAATCTTTATCATGTCCATGGCTCTTTAAAAATGCAGATAGGGGTTTGGTCAGCAATGCAAACAGTCACTCCCTTCTTGTAATACCTGAGCTGTTTCTCAAGTTTATGGCAAATTCACACAACTAAGATATGTTTTTTTGTAGTAATAAACAATGGTTTAGACTTAAAACTCAATTAGTAAGTGCAGGAGAACCGCACACACTACATGCAAAACAAAACCAATAAGACAAAGCTGTGAACAAGACAAACTACACAAAACGAACAAAACTCAAAATGAAACCTAAATTAAAACACTAATTGAAGATTTACTTAGAACTTCCACTCAAATCTGACTGATTCAGAGAAAAGTACCCATGATTAATCTAGTAAGAGAGATAAGAAGATTAATGTTAACTAATCCAGGATATAGTACTTGAGGCCCAGGAAACAGGTACTCTTATGTCAAGTGGATTCTTTCTTGATATGAGATACACTTAATTGCTAAAGAGAGTTTGATATTACTAAAACAGATATCACCTAAGAAATATTTTTCAGTACAAAAAGAAAAGTTATTTTTCAGTACAAAAAGAAATGTTAATACAAAAAAGAAAAGTTATTTTTCATTACAAAAAGAAAAGTTATTTTTCATTACAAAAAGAAATATTTTTCAATACAAAAAGAAATTCAGTACAAAAAGACATTTCTTCAGACTGTGTGTGTCCAAAATTAATAATTTAATTAAGATAAACATGTAATTGTTTCATTAAAATCACCAAAGAGTAACGGTAGTAACCTTGTAGTAGATGTCTACCTGTTTCCTGTATTCTCATTTTAGAACAATTTTAAGTGTTCAGAAAAAAGAATTGCGTTTAACATCCTCCTTTTCTACACCAGCCAGGTTAAAGAAGGTGTCATGGCCTACTCTTTATTTTGAATTCCAACCGTGAAGGGTTATTGTATTGTTCGAAATACATCGGCCAAAAAGCAAACAAAATCGTATTATGACCAGTTTGAACAAACTGTGTAATTTTATTATAGTGTTAGCTATCGTAAGACAACTCTATGATTAACAATTCAAACACATTATATGTGCTTAGTTAACTTTATCAAAGAAAAGGTGAGTAAATTATTTATTGAACTATTAAAATAGAATAATATTTGGTCAGGTTTCTTCTACTTCTGTTTAAACATATCCAAATAAACAATAAATCTATCAAAGACATTGCTCGTCAATTGTGGTTTGCTAGTCGTGGTAGAGTCTTGTGTCAATGTAGACGGTCTATATGGCGAGAACGGTATATCAACTCTCTGGTATAAAGAGTAACTAAGTGGTCTACTTTACATTACAGTAATATTTACACAGTAATTAGTCGATCTGTGTTTATAGACAACGCTACTGGACAATCAAGTCTTTGCATTCATATGACCAGTACAAACAGAATACATGTACATGGTAAACTAAATATATGAAAAGTAAAAATCATTAGCATGTATGTGCAATATATTTGGGGAATTTTCAGGTGAAAGTGTGGTAAATGTCATTTCACATGAGCTTTTTAGTGACAGAATTTCATAGATAACTGTTTAAAAATATCTGAGTGAAACAAAAGACTTCGCGCTCTCCCGAATTGAACCAATCCGACATATTTGTAACCAGAAATCTTCCCAAGTATATACTAACCAAAATCAATGAGACTGATGATATTAATAGTTTTGGTAAATCATTCTACCTTCTTACATTGTACTTATCATCAACCCTGTTGACATTTTTCTAAGATTAACAAGTTAACAACTGATGGTTAGCGTGCGCGCGCTGTATAATAAAGTCTGTCATTGAGTCGACTGGCGTGGTTTCGAATCCCTGGTTGTACGTGACAAGGAGTAGGGTCGCCTGTCCAACCTCGTGGGTTTTCTCCGGGTCCTCCGGTTTCCTCCCTCTGCTAAAGACCCCTATGCGCAAGCAAATTATTGAAATAAAATTAAACCATATGCTAGTCCCGAAATGACCTAGTTGTGTCGAGTGGACGTTAAACCCCATTTCTCTCTCTCTCTCTCTAACAACTGATGACGGAGAGTAGATGATGTACAGAAATACCAAAAGACAATCATTCAGAAAGTCTGATTAAACGTAGAATGCAGACTGCAGAGCTCTCATTCAAAATTTCCAGCCTGTCAATTTCACTGCCAATCAGTCAAGACAAGTAAAGAGGACTGGAATGAGTGGCCTGTTGTAATATAACATTAGGTGGATATATCAGTGCATTCAAATACAACAATTTCAATCATCATAACAATCTGGGGACATAGCTAAGATACCTTTGGAAACATGGCTAAACCACACTATTTGGAGAGAGAGAAAGAGAGAGAGAGAAAGAGAGAGATAGAAATGGGGTTTAACATCCACTTGGCACAAACTAGGTCATTTCGGGACTAACATATGGTTCAATTTTATTTCCATAATTAGCTTGCGCGTAGGGGTCTTTAGCAGTGGGAGGAAACCGGAGAAAACCCACGAGGTTGGACAGGCGACCCTACTCCTTGTCACGTACAACCGGGGAATCGAAACCACGTCAGTTGACTCAATGACAGACCGTATGATACACAGCGCAGGTGCTAACCATTCAGCCATCCAATCACACTATTTGGGAAAAGACATAACAGGCTTACTTCCCTACAATAAATGTGAACCATAGTAGAATGCCTGTTATAATGTAACATTTGAT